TATATATATATATATATATATATATATATATATATATATATATATATATATATATATATATATATATATATATATATATATATATATATATATATATATATATATATATATATATATATATATATAGGTTTTGGATCAAATAAGAAAAAGATCTAATGAAAGAAATAAGAATAAATATCATTCGTTGGATCCACTTTATCTGTCATTTCCCATCTAAACCGTAGCAAGGGTAAAAAAGAACTTTAACACTCTGGGCATTATTGTTCCTCCTTCTTCTCCGTGAAGTTAGCCCACGTTCCTGCGCACCTTCAGCCCCGGTTACGACGCATTTTCAGTTACCGGAAGACATTTATTGGTATGGATTCCTCTTTAATTCTTTCGCATATACGTCTGTGTCCTCCCCCTTCAGCGTAATACCCTCAGGAACTACCGGCGTGCCCCCTTCATTTAACCTATGGAAGTTCACGGAGACAACGATTACGCGATGGGATTTCACTCACAACCAGGTACCCTTTGAATTAAACCCTGTTATTTTGTAATTTTTCGTATCAGATAATTATTATCTCTTTTTTTTGGAAAAAATTAAGTATTTGTGTGATTGAAAATTTGGTAATTGTGTGAATTTCGAAACTCTGGGTTTAAGAACAAAGTACCAATCCCAATTCTGAATGAATTCAACCCTGTTATTTTGTAATTTTTCATATCAGTTAATTATTTATCTTTTTTTTTTGGAAAAAATTTATTATTTGTGTGATTGAAAATTTAGTAATTGTTAGAACAAAGTACCAATCTCAATTCTGAATGACGCATTACGCCAATTAATGCATGCACAGAACATAGTAATGCATTTTCTTATCAAATCTGTGCACTATAATCATCCTAGCTCACATGTCCCACAAAAATGAAGCAATTCTCACCAATTATTTAGCCATTCCTTTCCCAAGTCTCACTATTATGCAACAGAACTAGGCATATGTGTTGTGTGTTGACCTGAAAAGCAGAAGGTGTGACATTCCTGCTTTTTAGCACAACACACACAAATTATTTTCCTATCAAATCTATGCACTATAATCATCCTAGCTCACATGTCCCACAAAAAAGAAGCAACTCTCACCAATTATTTAGCCATTCCTTTCCCAAGTCTCACTACTAAAGCTGTCAATACATTGCTTCATATTAAAACAGTTATGTGCCACACACCGTTATATTGCTCCATTCGATTCTAAGTCTCCTTCCACATATGAATGACCCATTGAGGTTTAAAACTAATTTAAAACTCCACATCTATGCTGAGATTTTAATGCATTCCTAAGATGAAATATTTAGGTGTCATCCTCAAATTTTGGTATATTTGCTTGACTTAAATTGCATTATCCAGCCTACACAGTGCAATTTTATCCATTTTTATACCCCAAATCAAATGCACAAACTATGTTCCTACTACGTATGTTATTTCAATATCATGCCTTCACGTTGCGGCTGTAATATTAAAATAGTGCTGAAATATTCACGTTTATTCATACAGCTACCCCCACAAAGTATCAGGAAGTGCCAAATGAAGGCATCGGTTCTTATGTCGAACGTCATTGGGTCCCGCAATGCCCTGATAACTACATTCCAAAGGTCGGCATGGTTTTCAAGGACTTGGATGATGCTATTCGTTTCTATCGTGCTTAAGCTGCTGAGGCGGGGTTTGATGTGCACAAGACTACCACTGCAAAGAAAGAGGGCTCCGTTGTTTGGAAATACGTTGTATGTAGCCGCGAGGGTAAAAAACATGTCCCCACAATCTCCCACAATGATGCATCACATGACATTGGACATGCTGCATTATCTAAACCTGGAAGAAGAAGACGCATTTCTAAGCGTATAGGCTGTATGGTACGTGTTGCATTTCACATCCTTGGACATGATGCTTACGTTCTCAGCATATTCGAAGAACAGCACAACCATCCTCTCACTTCTCTCCCCTACAGGCCATTTTTGAAGATCAACAGGAACATTGATCTAGGCCATAAGAAGTTCATACTCAACTGTGCTAAAGCGAACATTGGTACCATGAAATCATACCGATTTTTCAAGGAGTCTGTTGGTGGGTATTCAAGTATTGGTGCTACTGCTGTGGACTTCAAAAACTTCAAACGCGATTTGAAGGCCTATATTGCCGGTGGAGATGCTCAAATGGTCATTGACAAATTATTCCGAAAATCAGAAGTATGTCCTGGATTTAGGTTTGATTATGAAGTTGACGAGTACGACCAGCTTTCCAGGCTATTTTGGTGTGACGCTGCTTCCAGGAAAAGCTACTCCCTGTTTGTTGATGTGGTCTCCTTTGATGCCACATAACAAACCAACAGGTCATACATCTATTAATTTCCACTTATCACATCTCACCTCATCCCAATAGAGCATGCGACTCTTTGTTGATTTATAGCACTATCCATCTCCTTATCACTTTTTGTAGGTACATGATGATATTCGCTCCGTTCACTGGTGTCGACAGCCATAAAAAGTGTGTGACATTCGGCTTTGGCTTACTGTCAAGCGAGGACGCTGAGTCATATTCATGGTTGTTGAGATCATTCATTAATGCGATGGGGAATGCTCCAAGCTGCATCATAACTGATCAAGATCCATCAATGCAAATTGCAATCGAAGAAGTCTTACCGCAAACCAAGCATCGCTATTGCATGTGGCATATTATGAACAAACTATCAGGGAAAGTTGGTCCGGTGTTAAGCAAGGATACGGAATTCATGAATCGCATTAATCAGGTGGTCTGGACTCATTACTTGGACAAAAAAGAATGGAAAGGACAATGGCAGACTACAACCTCACGGAGCATTCGTGGTTCAAGTCTCTATACACGTTACGTAAGTTTTGGATTCCGATGTATTTCAGGGATCTGTTTATGGTCGGGCTTTTGCGCACTACGTTTAGATCAGAGAGTGAAAACAGTTTCTTTGACGATTTCATCGACCGCAACTTTAGCCTAGTTAAATTATTAATGCAATTCGAGAGTGCAATGGAGGACCAACGGTTCAAATTTACTCGTTTGGAATCCGAGTCGGGAATTCCAGTGTTCAAAACCCCATTAAAGATTGAGAAACACGCTGCATCGTTATTCACTCTCTCTGTCTTTTATGATGTGCAAAAAGAGATTTGTGCATCCTACTTTTCATGCGCTATTGTATGTATCCAAAATAGTGAGGATGCTTCCGAGTATCAGATCAGCGATGTAAGTGGGATGATATCAACTGTCCGCTACTGTGAACGTAATGGGACCACGCATTGCAGTTGCAAAAAGTACGAACGCATTGGCTTGCTATGCAGGCACATCTTTGTTGTTTTCAAAAACCTGAAAATAGAACAGATCCCCGACTTCTATGTTACCAACCGGTGGTGCAAATTCCACTTGCTCAAACCAATGTTCGATGTCGGTGGCTTAGAAATGGACAAGGAATCATTTACGGATCAAAATAAGACTCTCGTTTCTCGATTGATGTCAGACATCCACTTTTGTATTGCCTTGGTAGAACACACCCCTGATTTGCTACTAGCCTTTTCCAACACTATAAATCAGCACAAGGAGGCCCTAATCGACAAACTTCAAGATGGCAAACTATTATCTGACACATCCTTGGTGTTTGAAAACTTTTGTGGCACTTCTGCACCTTCAGAAGTTCGTGTATTACCCCCTGCCCAAGTAAGTACGAAGGGCAGCGGTAAGCGTATCAAAGGAGGAAAGGAAGTTAGCATTGAAGAATAAAAGAAAACCAAACGCTTGTGTCGGACATGCAAAAAATATGGCTTCCACGAGAGCAGGAACTGTCCTATGAACCATGAGAAGTGATAAGTCTGTTTTCCTGTTCCACTTTTATGGTTTATTAAATTTTCTGTTATTTTTATTCCATCAATATGTCTCTGCTTTTTTACCATTTCTTGTATTCCTGAATTGAAAAAATCAATTCCAATGGTTGAATGACTCATTTTCAACACCAATTCCCCATTCTCACAGTATCACCTTCTTCTATCCATGTAGCATTTCATTTATTTTATACTGCATAAATCAGCTATGTCAAAAATGGTGACCACTCTTTAACTGAATATTCATACAAGAGTTGTGCATTCCACCTATAAAATAGATTTCATACCAATATATGGATATATTGAGGTGAATAGGAAGCATATTTTAATTTATTTCATGTATGGGTTTGTTTTAGATCGAGGTTTTAAAACCATATAAAGTGAGGTTCTGTTTACTAAACGTGCTCACCCCGTTTGTAGAACATTTATAAATGGCAACGCATATAATGTTGATCATGGTATGTCACAGACAATATATGCGGCTGAAACACCCAGAAATGCACACGCAAATCAAACGGATGTATTATTCAAAAAAAAATTTGGAAGAACGAATTTTGATAGAAAACAAAATAAAATGGTTATCTCACCTTTTCCTCCGCAAAATTTGATGGGTTTTATTTCCTTTCCATAAATAAATTTTGCCTTGTCATTTTCTTTTCCTTCAACTTTTACTCTCTAACCAAACAACACACAATTATTTTGCCTATTGTTTCATTTTCCTTTTCCCTCAAATTTCTTGATCCAAATACGGTGTTAGTAAACCACTAGTGTACTTCACTATTCAAATTATTTATTATAACATCATACATTGGTACTGATTTTCTCTATGTTCATATCACAATGCTGAAACCTCTGTTTCGAACAAATACAATTTCAATCACTTCATCAATCGCTATGTTCACACATCTCGAAACAGCAAACTTGTTTAATATTCACTTAATCCAACAAGTTACAACTCTCCAAAAATACGTAATGACAAACACATTCTTAAAAAACCACAAACGCACCAAATACGGCAACACCACATCTTCATTCAAAAAAGCATAACCATTCACACCATCTACAAAAAACAATTGCCTCAAATCCACACAAAAAAATTAATAAACCAAACCATGGGGTGAAAACTAGTTCCCTTATAGCACTCCCATCAATGTATGGTGTCACCAACTTTCACCAACAACTAAAAAAAATAATTCAACAAACACACAAAAATAAGATGCAGCCATTCTAGGGTTGGGTTCACTTAGGATCCTTTTCCTTCCTCTCCCTTTCGAGTTTCTCTGACTCTTTGTAAACCTTGTTCAACAGTGCATTAACTGGGCTTAGAAGTATACATGCACAGTACTTGCAGCGCAGCAATAACATAGGCTTCTGATTTAACTTCGACAAGCCACTGTTTCATCCCTTGCCACCATCCCCCATATACGTCTCCATATGACGCATGGTCGCCACATCATAGTCAAATATAGCCTTCGGATCTCTCCAAGGGAACGCAATTCTCTTAGCAAGCATTTCTCTAACACATTTACCTTTGTAAACAAACCTCTGCTGCTCAAGAAAATCACCCAACAACCTCACCTGGTTGAAAAATTTCATGTTAATAAATCATCTACATTAATATACCTTATCCTAAAAACCATGCACCCAAAGTTCTTACAACTCGCTTTGGCATGTCACCATATCTGTCTTCGTTTTTTGCTTTCGCTGAAGAGCTATCCAGGATGTCACACTTCTGCTTTTTAGGTCAACACACAACACATATGCCCGGTTCTGTTGCATAATAGGAAAGAAAAACTGCACATAATCCAATAAATCACACATTAACAATTTCTCTCAAACACAATGAACTACTGATATATATAGAACGATCCAACTAATTTCAATCTTCACATTGCGTCTACTATAAACATTCTTACCAGTTCAGCTTTCCCCCAGTTGAAATCATCTGCCATGTCATCCCACGCAGGAAGCAGCGCATTCGCAAACATGTTCTTCACGTTCGCCTCAGACACATCGACTATATCCCCATTTACAACCTTTTGATTTCAAAACATGTCAGATTAAGCATCATGAGAATCCCCATTCAAACTAAAGTACGCACACAGGAAAAAAAACAGCTTACACAATCCATGCTCCTAGCAAACACACGCAACGGGGATTCGCCACTTCTGAATTTCTCATTGTGGTTGAGTATTGTTGACCACACATCCATCACCCTCTTGGAAATATGTTTCCCAATATCCAACGACGCAATTTCACCTCTTGTCAACTCCAATCCATCCTTCATGAAAACAGCTTCATCCCTAAACATCACAATACGTGATTATTAAAGAGCTAACATTCAAACTTTAATCCATACATATTCAATAATTTTCAATCAAAATTGCAGACTTTAAAACAAAAACTTACTTTGGAGCATTTGGACTCTGCAACACCCAATTCGTCACCCTCCTCTCCATGACAGATAACCCATCGGAAAGATCTATCGGTCGTGTAAGGTAGGGTGATCTCAAAGGGCCCGCAGATTTTAATGTCCTAGCCAACTTCCTTGCTACATTGCATGGCTTCACTTACCACATAACAATAATATTTTTCATTAAGTCACCAAAAAAACCAACCACACCACCCCTTACCATGCATGAATTAATTTTTGACATCTCTGAAAAAATCATTCCTACCACTGCTTTTGAACATTCTGGAATAGTTCCTCGCACAGTTTCATCACCCACTGCACTCACACCAGCAACCTACGCATATATCAACCATTGGTGTGATCACCACGTAACAAAATGCAACACATAGATCACCAACACCACTACGAATAACGGTCTTACCGATGTCATACCAATCCTGTCCGGCTTATTCCTGCTTCCAGGTGTTATGAAATCATTTTCAACCCCAGGGTTACTCTCCGGCTCATTCACAACCCGAACTGCAGGAGTGCTAGGTGTTTTTCTGCAAGCACCCATATCACCACCATCAATATTCACATTCTCATTCTCTCCATCCAATTGCGAGAACCCCAGACTGAACGATGGCATATCCTCCATGATCTTCTTGTATTTTGAACGTGTCAGTAGTGCCTGTTCATTCTCCACCAACTGATCTATGTTTGCAGGGTCGCTCCAGAAACCTTCATCATAAGTCACCTCAGAAAATCCTCCATCAGGTGTTTCTAAGCTTCCACCACCTCTACGTTGTGCCAGACCCAATAATCTACCCGCTGCAAGCTGCAACTGCTTGAACACATCATTCTCCATGGTACCAGGTGGTGCACTCTCAATCAACGACACTGGGTCGATGATTGTGGTAGCCAGAACTCTTCCCTTTTCTGCATACTTTTGAACAAAAACCTGATGCATAAGGGTGTCATAAAATAAAAAGTATTAAATTTCAACAACCCCAAGGTAAAAATAATCAGTACAGGGTTTGCTAAGTAATCCCCCCCGCACTTAGCTCAACCGGATCTTCCCTCGTCTCTCCCCTTGGTTCTGGTGCACCACCATTACCATTTTCCACATTATCCTGTTCTAAACCTGCCTCAACATCTGTGTCACCAGAGCTCGCATCCATCACCTCACCAACAAATCTACCATCGTCATACCCCAACCTGAATCCACCTGCTCTGACCTCATTGTTTTCCCTATCCCTCAGGATCTTAGATGTCCATCCCAGAAATGCAGGCGACATCCTCTCAACGTCCCTTCTATAGAGCACCACTCGGTCCACGTAGAACGCCTTAAAAAATAGATAACAAAGACTACATTAAAAAACAACTACACTATAATGAAGTAAATTAGAGTTGTCAGAAAACAAAACTCTTACCAACAAGCACAATAGAGGTCCAGTATAGTATTTTCTATTCCCCTTCTCCCACTTCACTCTACTCTCAATCAATGCTCGGTGCACATATTCACACCAGTTTAAGTGTGCAATCCCATCCACATCCTCCAAGCTTTTCAATACCCAATTGTTTACGTACCCATGACTCGGGCTATCAACCAAAACTGACACGACTAACAACACGAAAAGACGAACAAACCACATACCACCATCAGTATATTGCAGTACCTTTTCACTAAGTTCTAAAGGGGTGATCTTGTTGTCTCTCCTTCCGATCTCTACCCTCAACTGATCCTGTATATCACACTTCTCACCTTTTTTTTGCTGACTACCTTAGCACGCCCACACGGCAAACCCAAAACGTGTCTAATATCATCCACCGTAACATGCACCTTTGTTCCATCTGCAAGTTCAATACTGCTACTCCTAGGATTAAATTTCTCTACCACCCAAAATCCTAGTTTCGCCGGAAGCTCTGTTAACTTGATCTTTAACATAGACCCAAACCCAATTCTCACAACTTCTCGCCTCTGAAACTTCGTTCAGAGCTTCAACCACTTTTTGCAAAACGTTAGGAGAAGCTCTTGACTGAATTCGTAGGTACTTCTCCTTCAATTTGGTTATCCCCTCCCTCTTTCGTTTCTTTACTGTTGCAGCATTCTTCCTCGAAGCACTCGGTGAAGAGTCAGTTGATGTCTTCCGAGGTGGGTCATCAAATGCATCATCACTGTCAGTCTCCTCTTCTGCATTCCCGCCTTCATCTCCCCCACTCACTGCATCATCTCTAGACACATCTGAACCAGCATTATCATTCCCATTTGCACCACCATCTTCCACAGAATCTTCGTCATCATCGCCCAGGTCGACATGCGCAGCGTGTACTTTTGGCCTTTTCATAATCTCTGCAAGCTGCAATCTACCACTTCTTCCAATCGGTGAAGCCATTACAACAGATTTCTTGCTGCGCTTGGAACTTCTTTTCAAGGCAAGATCTGTAGCCCCAACAAAAAAAACCAAAAACAGAAAGTCATAAGCAAGGATAAAATGCCAAATCACAACACAAAACATAAAAATGCCAATGTGGTGTTTGTGTGGCCACCCAAACAACCATTCCACATCAAACAACAGCAAACTAGAATATCCAAACTATTTTACACTTTAAATAACCAAACACTTATGTATTAGTATGAAATGCACAAAATTAAAATAAACAACATTTCAATAAACCTAAACATAATACCAATCACAAAGCATATTAATAACCCACAGATTGATACAGTACCATATTATTAACAAAGCTAGATGCACAGTAAGTCCCCATCAGTGCTAATATAGAACCATGCATTGTACAAAGCTAAAGAAACACCAACTAATACAGTATATACATCAGTCCTCACACACAATTCCTGACTGCAGCTTAACACTATCAAACTCCACCGCACCATTTTTCAAAATCACAAATTCTTACAATACGATATCCTACAACTCTCATCACTGCTTACCATACACCAATAAATGTTAATCTGAAGCCAGTCTATAACATTTTCTTCCACACACTATCACATTGCTCAGACCAAAACATGCCTTTTATTCAACCCAATTGAATCGCATAAATATATAAAATGCAAACAAAGTATATAACTATTACGAATGCAATGCACAGTATTAGTAACAAAATGAAAACTAAACAATAGCTCTTCACCAGGGGAAAACCCATGAATTAGCAGAACGAACACTACAAAATAAGCCAAACCATGGCATACATTGGCACCAGGACACTGCTTTATCCACTCAATGCAATATAACTTCACAAATACACACAAAATGTGGAACACATCACACACAACTTAAAATTTAAAGTATAACACCACAATACACATGCTTCAATCACCAAAACATCATAACAACATACAAAAACCAGATATTCACATGCAATACATGAAACGCAAACACACTATGCAAGTCATTTTGTTTATCAAATAAAAACACCATCTATTAAGTGCACTATAAGGACAACAAATAGCATAAAAACCACATATACATGTTCACAACTACTGAAAGAATTTAACAAAACACAGTAAACACTAAAATCAACATGGAAAATTCACATTTCTCAGATTTAGAACACCCTGATTTTTGAAACCAACCCAACATGCACATCAACCTCAAGATGACGCGAACACATGACACTGCAAAACTTAAAATCATCAAAGCACTAAATAAACATCCATCCTTCCTATAGTTATATTGCACAAAAAACCCACACACAACATAAAAAATAAAATCAAACACCCATTTTGTCTCAGATTCAGAGAATAAAAAAACACATATCCTCGGTGTCAAATGACTGCTTGAAAACCAGCACGCACCACTGTCTCCTCCCTCAACCAAACCCACGAAATTCAACCCAAACAATAAAAAACAATTTTGTGCTCTCCGCAACAACCAATTAATGAAAATCTACACTTACAGAACACAAACACTTTTGAAAAAATTTTAATTCCAAAACCCCAGACCCTCACCCGCAGCCAAATTCACCAGTTAGACACCATTTTCCCAACAATCAACCAGTATCATGAGTAACAAATGCATCCTCAAACACATGCAAAACAAAAAACCCACCACGCACAACCCGTTTCGCCCAAACAAAAAAAGAGGCACATACCAGGTACTCCTTCACCCTCCATTTCTACAATACACTTTCACCGGTAAGAAAAGCGCACAAGTCTGACCGAATTGCTTCAAAAAAAACCTTGATAATGTAAAATCTCTGCACCACGACCGCAAGAAAAGCAGTGCAAACAGCGAGGTTTATTGAGAAGTGAAGAGTTCTATTCTGAGCCTGCAGCTTATTAGGCGGGATTCTCCAACATCTACGCATTTCATTAAAATCAAATCTCTCAGATATGCCCTTCCGCGATTCTATCGTCAAAAGGAGTGTAAAATAATAATTACACTTCCTATTTTAAAGATTTGATCTCAGCCACACGATTGAATTAATCCTAGGCTCCTAATTCATTCTTAGTTCTTTCATTGACATATATTCTTATTAGAACCCACCCCTATATATATATATATATATATATATATATATATATATATATATATATATATATATATATATATATATATATAGGGGCCGGTTCCCGTGAGAATGCACCTTGTGGAGAGAAATGAGAATGAAATCTAGCCGTTGGATCTGATGCATCGTGCGGCTCAGATTGCATCCTGCACTCAGATTTTAAGATAGTGCATTTTCAAAGGATTTTGGTGCATTTCGATATGATGCATTTTCAAACCATTTTGCCGCACTAGATTCATTCTCATTCTTCTCCTAAGATCGCATTCTTCTAAACCACTATATATACACTCTAGTCAGATGACACCTTACGGTGAGATGACATGCTACGGTCAGATGACGCAAAGTTCACCACTGGTCACTGCAAAGCTCAAAGACAACTACAAAGCTCACCAAACTGTAAGGCAAAGCTCACCATATTTTTTCAACACTTTGAATTTTTTTTTAAAAAATAAAATCAAAGGAAGGGGTGCTGACTAGATTTTGACCGTTGACTGCCACCTTGGACCGCTGCCTGCTGCTGCTGCTCCGCCGTTGGCCACCGCTGCTGACCGGTGGTTGATCGGTGTTGCTATTTTATTTTTAATTAATTTTTTAATTTTCCAAATTTAAAAAAAGGGTGAATTTTGGTGTTCAAAGTGGTGAGCTTTGCGTTATTCCCAGGTGAGCTTTGCGTTATTCCCAGGTGAGCTTTGCGTTGTCCATTGGTGAGCTTCGTAGTGTAATGTGGTGAGCTTGGCGTCATCTCACCGAAGCATGTCATCTCACCATACGGTGTCATCCAACTGGAGTCAATCCCATACACACACACACACACATACACACACACACACACATATGTTCAAATGAGAATGGTACATAGTGAAAGAAATGATTATGCATATGATTCATTAGATTTAAGATTTAAGGGCTATTAAGAATCAGAAATTCTAAAAAATTAAAAAAATCACGGTGGCAATTTAGTAAATAAATTGAAAGTTCTGAAAAATGCACTACCACATGTGCAAAATGCTTCACGACAGTCTGATATTTGGTCAAAAAAGAAGCAACAAAAATTGATTATATCTAAATTTTACAAAAAATTTGGTCTCCAAAAATGTTGTTCACTAGTTGCAACAATTTACAACTTCTCAATAATGACCTTTTGAAATCAATGTCAGCAAATCAATTCAACCAAAATGTTAAACTTTAATTTACAAGTACTAGCTAGAATTTGAAGTTTTACACTTGATAATCACACAAAGTGACACTTGTTCTAATACTTTAGCAGGTGGTAAAGAATCCATCTCTACTTACGATCTATAACCACATACTTGAGTTTTTGATTTAGTTATTTGACAAGGTATTAGAGTTTTGTTGATCATCAGTCACGACAATTATTACTTTTTTTTTTGCAAAAAATTTTAATCCTTCGCCAGAGATGGGAAATACACTGCTAGTAGCTAGAGGATATAAGTGGATGTTGGATGAATCCCCTTAGCAAGATTAGGTTAAGAGTGTAAATAAGTGGTCTATTCTTAAAGATTAGATTATTATGCTCTGATTGAGATGCAGAGGCCAACTCAATCTGTTATGTGCGATTAGGGTGTGGAAGATATAGAACATCTCTTTTGTAATTGAAATTTTGCCAAACAAATCTTAGGCATATCTCCGCATATCTCCCTCTAGGTATGATAGAATAAAGCAAAATAATTCTTTAAATTACATGCGCTTCTTTTTCAATAGTGACGTAGCAGTCAATCAATGCCACTTTTGACGCTCATCATGGATCATACGGAAACAGTCGCTCAATTCTATCCTTCAAATAATATATTTCCATTTGATTTTTTTAAAAAAAAAGATGAAGCGGAGTTCTCGTTTTGGGAAAAAAGGTCCTCGCACAAGAAGTGAAGAAAAATCTCTCTTATAATGTCTAACTAATATTATTTTTTAATTTAATTTATTTTAAATATGGCATATAAATAAAAAAAATATACTTTTTATTTAAAAAATATCTCAAAAGCTTTATAAAATAATTGATGACATGACTATTTTAAGCCTTGTGAATGGTGATTTAGGCTTTTATTTTGAGACAGAGGGAGTATGATTTTCCCCTAAATCCCCTTTTTAGCACTTATGGAACACACAAATATAAAGTATAAACTGAGACACCCACTGTTTATTGACCGAATTGAATATGCACAAAATAAGTTTGATCAAGAGAACAAAAGAAACCATATATCATGGCCTCTTGAACATGGAACATATACAGTAAAACATCTACAAATGAGGGAGCAAGTGAGATTTCAATGTGTTACTTCACCCATCAAATACAACTTTTGACCATCATTTATCGTTTCGACATCAATAATTTTACCTCCCTCTTCGGTTATCAAGAAAGAACCCGAAGGGCAGTCGAGTTGTTGTGAAGCAGTTTCAACTAGCTCTTCCACACCCCGAGGAATCCACAAAACAACACCGTGTTTTCTGACATCTTGTGTGTGAAATGGAAACACGGTGCACTTCTTGCGGGTCATTTTCCCTGTTTTAATTTTCTCATTAATAGAACCATACTGTCATCACTTTGAGTAGAGGTAGGTTAATATGATGATAAATTTCCCAAATTATTTGACCCTGTACCCTTTTTTTGGTCCCAAAATAATCGTCATCTTAGGAATTCAATGCATATTTATTTACTAATCTCTAAAATTTTCCCACATTAAATGTTTTTGTATCTTGAAAAGAAATAAAATGCATTTGACATTAAACTTAAGTAAGGATAGGATGGTCATTTTGTAAAATTCCCTCGTTTGTGTGCACTTCTCTAAAACGCCAACTATTGATTTGGGATGGACAATGTAAATCTGCACAAGATGTGCATGTGATGGCATTGAACTACATCTCATGGCGTCTTACCTATCCGTTTCTTTATGTGTTCATTTTAAGTGGAATTTCAACAATACCTTTAATATCTTCCAAGCATCCGGGGAATTCGGACAGTTCAGCAGATTTTGCTTCTTCCAGAAGTTCAATGAGCTGTTTGTTCCCAGTTTCTATAGCTTCATTAACTGCAGTGTTTCCCCATCTGTAATGATATGAAGTAATTCAGGTACATAGTTTTTAAGCAAAGCAGGGAATTAATAGCATGCTAGATCAATCAGTGAGGACATAAATCAATCGATATAGTTTTTAAGCAAAACATGGAATTGATTGCATACTAGACTTATCTTTAAGGACATCAAAACTTTATTCATCAGTCTCTAGTTCATTGCATACCAGCTTGTGAATTGTGAGATCTCATATACTCCCTCTGTCACATTCTTAATATTCAGTGTACTATTAATCGCCAACTATCTCTCTTTTCTTCTTGTATTTTGTTACACGTGTTTTTTATAATTGATTTTGGCTGTGTATGTTTAGCCCCTACTTCCATTTAGTTTATAAATATATAAATTTTACTCTTTCCGTCCTAACAAAAGACTGGTTTCATTTCATAAATAGTACTCGTACGTAGTATTTACATTTTTAAACTTCTACCGAGTATTTTTTTTCTTTGGCTAAAGTAAACATATTCAACTTGCTTGAATTTTTCAAAATGATCTTTCAATAAAGATCTGCTTCTTTCGTTGAAATATAGGGAGTATCTTTTTTCCTGATGCTGGGACGGGACGATCAAACTTTTTTAAGAGAGAAAGTACTAACTAATACTTTGTAATAAAAAAAATATTACCCAAAGCTTCGTTCTTGTTACACAAGTAGAACATCTATTTTGGGAAGGATGGAGCATACAATCAGGAAAAGAATTGCACCTGTCCTTTAAGAGAACAGAAGCACCAGCTTCTAAAAGCAGCTTTGCCATTGCAAATGAGCCTTGAGAAGCAGATACGTGAAGTGGTGTCTGGTGATTATAGTCTTTTGAGTTTGAATTGACACCACTAGATAATAATCTTCGCAGCAGATCAGAGTCACCTCTTGCAACAATGTTACACAAGAAGCTGCCGGCATGGTCAATCTTCAACATGGCCCCCTCTTTAACAAGTAATGAAGCAACCCGGTCATGCCCGCTCTTGATGGCTTCAAGTAGGGGTGTATTTCCAAAGTTATCTATAAAACAAAACCAAACCAAACAAAACAAAATTACTGCAAAGTTCTTTTACATAGCACAAAGCAGAGACGGACCCACGTTGAGTCCCACAGGGTCCCGGGACCCCACGGACCTCCACGTAGGATCCTAAATATGTTAGGTACTCTGGTATTATTAGTATATAATTTTAAAAAACCGAAATGATAATGAATATCAAAGCAGTGCAATGGAGGTGCGGCTGAATTTCGAAATATGTGATCCAGAGTTCGATTCTCCATTCCTCCTTATTTTTGTTCTTTTTATGGAGCTCAATTTTTTCTTCAAGTACTTTACAAAATCATTTTTAATCTCATATATTTTATTATATTTCTTCAGGAAATATTATTTTTTGTATTAATACCTATTGCTACATTAGAATTTTAATTTAAATGAATACTCAGGGTATTAAATAATTATTAAAGTTTTTCCAATCTGACAATCAAACTATCTAAATGCACATGCTATTTAAATTTGTTTAGTTTAATTCTTTTATGAGTGCTTTCAAAATTTAGTGGAAATCAAAGATGAAATGAGAACCTCCAATCTACTAAAATCACCTCCATCCTCATACTTTAGTAATAAACATGCAATACAATGTTGATCTCATTCTCCATTGTTACAAGAAAACCTAAAAAATATACTTCGTAGTATTAATTTATTTTGAATTTAAAACATTAAAACTTCAAACTTGCACTCTTTGCGGTTATTTACAATATTGTGGGTTTAGTATATATTGATGCATGCAAAGAGTTTACAATTTTTATTGGTTTATTTACAAGTATTTTTCCCTAAAAAATACCTAAACAAATCTATTTTTTGTTTTATTTGTATTCTTTTTACAATTTACTTCCATTTTTAAAGTGTGATACTGAAGAATTATGGATATGTCTAAATCTTTCGTTCTAATTCGAGGCTTTTGACAAAAAAATCATTATATCCAATTACTAAATTTTATCTTTAAAAAATTGTCAGATGTAGAAGTTATAACTTTGATAATTCCATTTGAGAATCATATTTTGAATGTTCATTTAAATAGTAGATTTTTTATAGCGTGTGAATAATTACGTACTATAAAAATATATATTCACAATTTAAGAAACGGGACCCCATATTTCCCGATTCCTGGCCTCTGGCACAAAGGTTTCTTACAAGTTTAGAGCAATATCTGTTGAAAGCAAAAATCTAGTGATATACCTTGAGCATTGAGATCAACACCTTCTTGTATAAGATATAGAGCAATAGCTTCATATCCTCTGGATGCAGCGAGATGCTGGAATGAAGTGAGGATCTTATTAAACTTACATGTTTTATTTTACCTTCATAATGCAAGGCTTGTTTTGTTTGGATATATTAAGCCACTTTGTTATGAGTGAGGCAGTGAGCTAGCTCAAAATATAGTAAACAACAAGGGCTGAAAAATAGTTTGTCCTGTCATAAACATTCATACCAAAGGTGATCTTCCATCATAATCTCTCTTGTTGGAATCAGTTCCAGCTCGAATAAGAGTTTTAAGCTGATGCAGATCACCATGATAAGCAGCACTATTAACTTTCAGTGCAAATTCACCCTCCTGCTTCCCTATATGAAACGTGATATCTGATTCCAGTTGCTTTAATCCTATCTTAGAGTCTTTTGCCTGAAATTCAGATTTTTTATAGATCACTCACATAGATGTGATGTCAATAGCACAAAATTGTAGTGTACAAATAAGCGAGCAGTATTTTAATTTTTTTTCTAAGTGAAAGGCATAGGAGCACCTGCACATTTGAGAATAACTAGTTCTAAAAATTGATTACGAGACCTGATCTCAATAATGTGAGAACATTGTACTACGTATTAGAGATTATATTAAATAATACTCCGTAATACTTTTCCATCATCTCCGATGGAGCCAAAATTTCACCATTTTTTGGCTTTGGGGTGTGATGGAATATATCAAAATGGATCTCTAAACTATCTGCGCTTCTTTAATTAATGAAGTAGCAGTTAGTCAAGCAATGCAACTTTCGACGTTGAGCCGGGGGTCTCTTTGGAAACAGCCTCTCTACTTTCAAGTAGGGGCAAGGTCTGCGTACACACACCCTCCCCAGACCCTACCATGGTTCTTTTGATAACTTCATGCTAAATGAACCAGCACGGACAACCATCTATGCTTGGCAAACAATCTCGAAAAGAGCACTACTTAAATTGAATTTGTTTGGCTACACCCCATAACCCCTACTTGTGCATGCATGCAGCATGTACATGCGCGTGCATGTATATATAAAAACACATATGCAAAAAAAAGAGAGGCTAAAGGCATTATTAACATTGGGGTCATTTAAGTTAGATTACCTCTAGTAAGTTAGTCAAGATTCTTCTTCCATCGTGAAAATAGATGTCAAGAATATTAGAGAGGGATTGTTTATCAATCCGAAGGAGTCTGCACAGTTCACAAACACGAACAGTATATGGTTGAGGGATGTTGCAAAGAATAGAAACTTCTCCAAAGAAGCCATGGGTCTCCAAAAGAGCAATTCTCTCTTCTGTTCCATCTTTCCCAATGCTAACTTCCTCCTATACCAATATGACAAACACTACATCAACACAAGTTGAAGCTCTGGTCCGAACAAATTAACAAGTCAAAACAACTCTAACCCTTAGTTGCAATAGATCTGCAAGAATGAAGCCACATAAAGGTGATAAAACTTTCCACAAAGTAAGTTGATGTGCCTATATTATGATCTGAAAAATTGTGTAGCTAGAACTTGATACGAACTTCGGTAGAGATTTGGCTAAAAGTTACCGATAATCCAATCATTGAAATTGTAGAATAATATGTGATAGAACTTTAGGATGGAGTAAGGATAACTAGGTTGGGTAATAAGACACTTGGATTGAACCACATTAAAAGATTGAATCCAATTGATTACTTAGTTCAACTCAAGAGCTTATATACCGATTACTTTTATATTCAACTTCCGATGTGGGATAGACTCTAACACTCCCCCTAAAGTGGATAACCGGTCCATTTTGAATCTAACCGGTTGACCACTTGCAAATAGATTCTCATCTCCTTGATTTTTTTTAGCGTCAACACCTAAAGGACCACGAGCCGCTGGGTATGGACTTCCAGACGAGCAATCGAGTTAAACGGGCCACGGGTCGATGGGTACATACTCCATATAAACAACTGGGCTAAAGACAAAGGGCCCGCTAGGAATGAACGTCTAGACGGATACCTTGACAAATGAGGTGGGCTAAAACTGGCTCCGATACCATGATAGAATTTTAGGATGAGATAAGGATAACTGGATTGGGTAATAAGACACTTGAGTTGAACCACATTAAAAGATTAAATCCAATCGATTACTTAGTTCAACTCAAGAGTTTATGTACCGATTACTTTTCTATTCAACTTCATAATTTCCAAAGACTATTACAATGCTTATATAGCACACAGATGGGTTTAATCATAATAGGAATTGAGAACCTAAACCTATAGAATGAGAAACCACAATGATTCTAGAGTTGGGGTTACTATATTTCAATACCTTCAAACTCACTTTGCCCCGGAAAAGGTTCGAAGACTCTGTTTTGGTTTGAACCAAAGTGAGTTTTCACTTTCCTTTTAAAAAAGGAATCATGTGGAACCTTATTCTAGGACAGAGAGAGTATTTTAATACTCGCTCCGTCTTTAAATAATCTTCTTTTCTTTTTGGATGTCCCAAAATAATCTTAACTTTTTTTAAAAGAAAAGAATTATGTGGCCAAAAAAAGCAATATCCTCTCATCAAATTCTGAACACTCTTTTTTCACTTTTCAACACTTTTCTTAAACTCCATGAAAGTCAAAGACAAAGTTTATTTAAAGAACATTTGGGATATTAAAATTAGAGTATCCAGAAGAGCTGCTCTCTCTCTCTCTCAACCATGGCGAAGAGGAAAGGGGGACCGAAGAAGAACGATGAGATAATCAACCCTGTAGAACAACAGTCGAACATAGGGAAAACTATTGCGACACGAACACACCAAAAGAAGTTGAATCTTCAAAGAAGGCGGATATAACTACACCTGAAGGAAATGGAGCCGGATCAAAACAAGAGATCGGATCGGAAAAAGTGGAAGAGAACACATCGGGTGATCAGAAGAAACCAACGTATGCAGAGATCCTGGGATCTAGCGAGGTACAGACAGATCTATCCTTTTATCAATTTGAGGAAGTAAATGGGCAAAAACTAGCTAGATTTACTGAGGAAGATGTGATTGAAGCTGATGGTGTATGGGATCAGGCAGTTTTATGCTATATACTAGGGGCAAACCCTCCTATTGAGGTAGTCAAGGGTTTCTTAGCGCGAATATGGAAGGAATATGGGGTGGAGTATGTCTCCTTTTATAAGGAAGGGCAATTTATTGTTCGTTCTCAGAAGGTAGAAAGTAGAGATGAGGTTGCAAAAAGGAAATACTACTATTTTGATAACAAGCCAATGTTGGTACAAAAATGGTTTCCTGGGGCTCAACCAAATCTATTGTAATTGAATGATATTCCACTATGGTTGCATTTCCCAATCTGGATGTGAAATATTGGAGCCTGTCAGGTTTGGGCAAGCTGGGTAGCATACTTGGTAAGCCTATTAAAAGAGACAGGGAAACAGCAACAAGATCAAAATGGAATTACGCAAGGATACAGATTGAAGTTCAAGTGCAGCAAGAATTCCCTGATGTAATACACTATGCTGATAAAGAGAATAGAGGGGTAGCTCAAGATGTGATATATGAATGGAGACCTACCATATGCTCCAAGTGTGGTAGATTGGGTCATATAGGTGACCAATACAGAAAGCAGAAAGAAGGAAAACAGGAAAGACCTGCTGTTAAGAAGATCTGGAGGCCAAAAATAAAGGATCAAGAAAACGAAGGAAGAGCCTATTCCTTTGGAGGGAACTCAGAAAGAGGATATATGTATTGAAGAATCTGTTGAGGAGGTAAAATCAGCTAGTAATTCTAGAGGAGAGGATGATGGATTCCATATCGTTACTGGAAAGAAGGTAGCAAGAAGACTAACAATTGAAGATTTGAGGATGCAGGGGGATCCTCTAAAAGATACCCCTTGTGATGGACATTACCCCTTTCTCCAATGATCATATGCTGGAATATTAGAGGGCTCAACAGCCCAAATAAACAATGGGAGGTAAAAGATATTATAAATAAGTATAAGGTTAGTATGATGGGTATCCTGGAGAGTATAAGATATTATAAATAAGTATAAGGTTAGTATGATGGGTATCCTGGAGACTAAAATCAGGAAAGAGAAAGAGGAAGAAGTTGTTTAGTAGTTGGAGTACCAATACAAATGTTGACCATCATCCTTTGGGGAGGATATGGTTAATATGGAATAGTAATAAGTTGGTGGTGCATATTATTGATAGCTCTGCACAGGCCATCCATGTTAAAGTCAGGAGTATGGATAATAGTAATTATGACTATATTACTTTCATATATGCTTTCAATAATAATGGAGAAAGGAAGCAGGTGTGGGATAAGTTAAGGGAATATGCCTTGTATATGAATGAACCTTGGTGCTGCATTGGTGACTCTAACAGTGTTCTGAATGTTGAGGATAGATTGGGGGAAACCCTGTTTCAGAGGATGATATAAGGGATTTTGAAGACTAATGGATTGTGGGTTAGAAGAACTACCTTGTGAAGTGTCCTTTTTCACTTGGTCTAACAAACAAGGAGAAGATCATAGAATTTTTTCAAAGTTGGACAGGGCTTTAGTCAATATTGAATGGATGAGAAGCCATAATACCAAGATTAAAATTCTAGATGAAGGAATATCAGATCACACACTATTGTTGATCAAAGATCTCAATTGTCAGAGGAGGTGTAAGTACTTCAGATTTTGCAATATGTGGATGGCAGATGCAGATTTTCCCCATATTATACAGAACTATTAGAAAGAAGACCCCAATCAAGGGAGTATGTATCAAGTAGTGCAGAATCTTAAGAGGCTTGAAGAACCTCTTAAGAAGCTACACAAGGATAAATTTAAAATGGTACATATGCAGGTGGATGAAAAGAGGGAGGAGTTGATGAGGGTCCAAGGAGAAATCAAGGCCCATCCTAGTCAGCTTCTGATTAACAGAGAAAACTGCTGCATCAGTTGAATGTCACTATTAAGGCCTCACATCAACTTAAATGTCAGCAGATCAAACAAGAGGGGGATAGAGACTCTAAGATGCTCTATGCTTGGGCAAGGAAGAGACAATTGAATAACTACATTATGAGTATCCAGAATAATGGGAAAGAAGTTAAAGGTACTGATGGAATAGCAAAGGTCCTGGAGCAGTTCTATAATAGAATGTTGGGTACCATTCCCCAAACAATGGATATTGACAACAAAACTATGGAGAAAGGGAATGTCCTTACCACTGTGCAACAACTGGAGCTAATAAGAGATTTTAACCCTGATCAGGTTAAAAAAGCTATGTTCTCCATTCCTAGTTCAAAAAGCTCGGGTCCAGATGGTTTCAATAATGGATTTTTCAAAAAACAATCGGCCTTTGTGGGTAATCTGACAACAAAAGCAGTGATGGATTTCTTTAGAGAAGGCACAACTCTAAAGCAGATAAATGCAACATGTTTAACTCTTATTCCAAAAGTAGCCAACCCTACTAAACCAGCTGATTATAAGCCCATATCATGTTGTAAAACAGTCTACAAAGTAATCTCTAAGCTGATCTGTATAAGGTTGTAAGAAGTGCTACCCCATATTGTTGATCTTAACCAAGCTGCATTCATTAAGGGAAGAGAACTCCAGCATAATGTTTTACTATGTCAAGAAATAGCAAAAGGCTATACTAAAAAATGAGTATCACCAAGATGTATGATGAAACTGGACATCCAAAAGGCTTATGACTCAATTAGCTTGAAACCAGGAGTATATTACATAGCTTGAAATTCCTAGAAAAGTTCATTAAATGGATCATGTACTGCATCTCCACCCCTACATACACCATAAATGTTAATGGGGAATATCACGGCTATTTCAGAGGAGGGAAGGGGCTTAGACAAGGAGATCCAATATCACCCCTTTTATTTGTTCTAGTAATGGAATATTTAACAAGAAGTTTTAAAGAAGCTGGCTGAAAAGATAAATTCTCTTCCCATCCCATGTGTGCTAGGTTGATTATTATAAATCTTACTTTTGTTGATGACTTGATTGTAGTTAGTGTCAAGTAACCAACTCAACCAGAAGCTCAAGCTTGTGGTTGTGGCCCAGGAAGAGTTATTTATATTCTAATACACCCCCTCACGTGCAGGCGTAGTCTTTTTCGAGCCTTGCACGTGAAACTTTTTAATTTTCTTAAAACTGGGTGGCGTTGAGTCCGAACCCGTGACTTCTTAGTCAACAAGACTCCGATACCATGTTAGAATTTAGGATGTGTATGGACAACTGGACTGGGTAAATAAGACACTTGGCTTGAACCACATTGAAAGATTGAATCCAATCGATTAGTTAGTTCAACTCAAGAGCTTGTATACCGATTATTTTACTCTTGGACTTCCGATGTGGGATGACACTTTAACACTCCCCTCAAGTGGACAACCGGGTCATTTTGAATCTAACCGGTTGACCACTTGCAAATGAACTCTCATTCCCGTAACTTTTTTTAGCGCCAACACCTAAAGGACCACGAGCCGCTGGGTATGGACTTCCAGACGAGCAATCGTGTTAAACGGGCCACAGGCCGTTGGGTACATACTCCATACGGACATCTGGGCTAAAGACCAACGGGCCGCTAGGAGTGAACGTCTAGACGGACACCTTGACAAACGAGGTGGGCCAAAACCTACTCCGATACCATGTTGAAACAATAGACTTCGGCACAATTCAACCCCAAAAGTTAGCTTAAGAGGTTGAGGTACCCAAGCAATTAAATAGCAGCACAATACAAGGCTGCATTGCCAATGTGGGATGAACAAGGCAACACGTCCCCCTCACACGAGGCGCAGATTACTGTGGGCACGGTCCCAACATCAATGGTTTAGCTCTGATACCATGTCAAGGAGCCAACTCAACCAGAAGCTCAAGCTTGTGGTTGTGGCCCAGGAAGAGTTATTTATATTCTAACAGTTAGCAAAGCAGATGCTAAGTCAATCAAGTGTATAATGACTGTCTTGGAGAACTTTCAGGTCACCACTGATTTGAAGATAAACAAAAACCAAATCCCAGGTTGTTTTTGGTGGTATAAGCCAAACTGAAAAAAGAGGAGCTGCTGAGGATAACAGACATGAACATGGGTAAGCTTCCATTTACTTATTTGGGAAGTCCAATTACAACAGTAAGACTGAAAGCTAAAGATTGTGTTCTGATCAATAAGCTTACCATCAAAGTTACAGCTTGGGGGTCTAGACATTTCTCCTGTACTGCTAGAATCATGTTGATTAACTCACTCTTAATGGGGGTGGTCTACTTTTGGTCTAAAATTTTCATTCTCCTCAAAGGAGTGATGAAAAAGATTATGGCAATTTGTAGAAATTTCCTATCGGGAGGCACCTCTGAATATAAACGGCTCCATTGGTGCAATGGGATGAGGTTTGCCAAATGAAGAAACATGGTGGGCTGGGGATCAGGAATGCGATGATGTGGAATTATGCAGCTATCATGAAACTTAATTGGGATATTGCTGAGAAAAAAAATATATTATGGGTAAAATGGATCCACTCCAGGTACATTGAAGGCTGTGATTTTTGGAACTACATGCACAAACCTGATTCATGTCACTAGTGAAGAGAAATGGTGAAAGTCAGAAAGTGAGGAGAAAATTTTCTGAAATGCCTAGAGGAGATCCATACAATGTTAAATCTAGATATTGTTGGCTGCAAGGTGACAAAACTACACCAATCTGGAGAGACTAGGTATGGAATAAACTTACTCCTCCCAAGTTTCAATTTATTTTATGGCTTTTTTTGGTGAGGGAGGCTACAAACTAAGGATAGAATTGGCAAGTTTCTGAACATTAATGGTGACTATGAACTCTGTGGGAAGGAAACTGAAACAAGAAAGCACTTGTTTTGGGATTGTGAAGCTGCGCAAAACCTATATATAGCAGTGTGGGAAGAGTTTCAGTTGTATACTGATGCCAAAACCATTGATGATGTTGGCGGGAAATTCAAAGAATAAAGAGTGGTAAAACAAGGAGGATATGGATAGCGATATGGGCTACTTGCATCTATTTTATCTGGAAGTGGAGAAATGGGTTTGTGCATCAAAATAGGAGGAAGATGGAAGAGATCAGCATCCAAGCAATACTTTATATTAGAAGTAATCTTACTTATATGAAAGTGATGTAATGTTTTGTGGTTTTGTGACTTGTGTTGCTATCTGATTTGTATGTTGGACATTTTGACATTTGGTAATGAAGTTTGTGTTTACGGTGCAAAAAAAAAGTTTATTTAAAAACAGAGGGAGTATATTTCTATGCTTTAACATATGAAAATTAAATATACCCTATGCTTGAGCCAAAACTGGAGCATGAAACTTTAACTGCACTAAACACATAAACTTCAAGAATTCTTCATATGAATAGCAAGATTTTTTATTTTTTAAAATAAAATAGCATCCAAACAAATTGAGTATGTTAGATTTAGTTAGACCGGAAAAAATTGCAAAATTGCTATGATTTCCAATAGTTCTACACATGTACCTCACTATAATTAAAAGGTTGCAATTTTGCAAAACATGACTCATAATGGGACGGGGGATTAAAAAATCACAAGTACAGAGATAGGTGAAGCATTGTACCAATACACCGTCACAGATAAAGTAAAGTTGGTCAATTGCATTCCCCTGTTGCATTATTACTTCTCCTGGAAGAAAAAACTCTTGGGAGACTTTAATTACCTGTAAAAACACAACAATTTTCAAAAATTAACAATTGTTTATAACTTTCTAAGATAGATACTTGAAGAACACTAGTTACTGTTGTCTCATACTCCGTATTTGAATCCACATTTGACATTGAATGCTTTCTAAGAAAATGAAAGCTCTGAGGTTGAGATTTATTTACTGAGAGAAAACATTATCACACACATAATTTTTCCTTAAAAGAAAAGAGGAGATAATCTTGGTATAGAATCTTTTAACGAGAAATATGTACTCCCTCTGTAGAGGAAGAACTATTCCACTTTCCTTATAAGAAGTTTTGAAATATTTGTTCGCCTCCCCTATTTGGAAAATGATATTATCAAATGACATAAATGGTCTTACTTTTCATACTCTCTCTTACTATTTCATCTTCTCTCCTTTTCTCGCTTATGATACACTACAAATACCCCTTTCATTTTACTCTTAACTAAAAGTGTACAATCCAAGTGGAACAACTATTTGAAATTTTGAATTTGGAGGAATAATAAAAACAACCCAACATAACTCCAACTTTGTTAAAGTCTTGGGGTGTCAAGATGTATGCAACTTTACCCCATAAAAAATAGAGAGGTTGTTCCGCTGACTTTTGATGGAATGATGCATTTACTATTCAAAACTTTATACAAAGTAAGAAGCAAGGGAAGTTTAATGTGTCATTTCAATTTAGTCCAGTATTTACCCAAAGATCAAAAATGACTATTTTAGCTCCATTCGCAATACATACAATAGAGAATAGTAAGCTAGGGTTTCACTCTTGATGGTAAACAAAATTTATAGAGATACACGATCACCAAATATTGAAATAAGAGTCCAAGAGACAATATCTACAAATGAAAAGGTCAAATTCCAATTTAAAAAACTTACAATTTGACCGATAAACTCTGCAGAGCACCCCTTGAAGAGAGGAACATTCTCAATGTAAGACTGGTACAGTGATTTAGAAATCTGCAAAAGGGTGGGGGTATATTCATGATTTAAAATTGATGGCAGATGTTGGCATACCCTGTAATTAACTTGTCTGTTATACTAAAAAAATATTGTCCATAAAGCCTTAAGAAGTACATGAGAAGCCAGGAGTTAAGATAGAATTGAGCCTTGTACTTTCAGACCTTCAGAACTCATAAGTTCCCTAATATTATAACAAGCCAATAACCCAAAAGCAGTATAAGCAGAAGTAAGCTATGAGAAACTTATTCTATCTTGTTAGTTACCTTGGAACGAATGGAGATTGGGATATCTTGAAGAACTGCAGAATCAATGTAGCAGCTTTCATACTGTAATCGTAAGTGACCCTTGATTTGATTACGGATATCCCTTCCAAGTTTGTTTATGTTCATAAACTTCATGACATCAGTCATCTTATCTCTATATCTTTCAGTTTTGGATCCTTTGACAATCAGTGCTGTCATATTACCAATCAGATAAGCACCAAGGACCATGTCAAAAGAGACATAAATCATGACAAATATCATTTCTCTCACATTGACTGCATGTATATCACCATAACCTGCATAAGACAAAAGAATTAGAGTAAGAACTAACTTGTAAAGAGAATTTCCTAGTATATATTTCCTGAAATATATACTCCCACCGTCCCCAATATAAACTGAAACAGGATTTTGTTATGTGATGTGAGTATCTGAAAATGTTTTTTGCAAGCGTGTTTCTCTCCAACATGCGTGTTGCCTATCTCCTTTCCATTATGTCCACAGTTGATGTTAGCAAATAGCAAACATCAGAAGAGTACTGACGTTAACATTTAAGTCAATCATCGCAAACTGAAACAGAATTTGGTGTTTGGGATGGGAGCATCTAAAAAATGTATTTGCAAGCGTGTTTCTCTCCAATATGCTCGTTGCCTATCACCTATCCATAGTGTCCGCCGTTAATGTTAGCAAACATCAGAAGATGCCTCGAATACTGACATTAAATTAAAGTTAATTTGCATCAAATTCGTGCTTCTTCTACTTGTCAAGTTGGCATGTCAGAGTCTGGAAAACTCGAGAAAGTAAAAGAATCCATTCTAGCCATACATATATGTTCCTTGAACAATAATACTAATCACAAAAACTCAGCTTTTCTTAGAACAGTTCACAGGCAAAATAAGCATGATTATCACGAGAGTGCGTATAAAATAATAAAGCAAATAAAACCGCAATGATAAAGAATGGTAAGATTTCAAAACACAGACTTACCAACTGTTGCCATTGTGACAACGGCAAAATACATAGAACTGCTATAGCGTGTCCATAGGTCAATCTCTCTGAAGTTGGAGTAACTATAGTCCCCCAATTTCAAACTCCCAATCCATGTATAGCCTTCCTTTTGTTCAGGCAGAGTAGTAGCTAAATAGTAAAAAATGCAGGCTGCAGTATGTGTGCAATAGAGTTCTACTGTGATGAGCTTTATAATTCTAGTAAAGAGATAATTGATCCGAATATCTTTCTCCAGTTTCTGAAAGTAAGCAGTGACTCTCAGTGCGCGGCTCAACCTAATCCATAGAAGGTATCTGATTTCCTCTTTCTCTCCAAATGCCTGATTATTCCAAATTCAACTGTGTCGGTCAAGGGGAAGTATTTTGAGCATGATATTTGAGAAACATCAGGGCAATGATAGTTGGAGCTGATAGCATTACACTGAGAACGCCAATTAAATGTACATGATTAGGTAATGCTAGATTCATGCTAAAAGCACGGCTGCAATGTTTTATGGCGTATGTCCTTCCTATTGCAATCTTCATTAGAAGGGATAATGAGATGGAAATACTAAGCCCCTCATCATTATAGATTATTTCTACATGCAAGGAAAATTTCATGAGACTGCAACGAACTGAGTTTTTTTATTGCCATAATCCAAAACAAGATTGAGATTGTGAAATCAACTTGCAAATCTACAATACCATATAGGGCATGATACCCAACTATTTTTTGGAATAACAATAGGAATACCTTTTGGGGTGATTATTACTAACATACCGCCACTGAGTCGCAATCACTTTAAGTCGCTGAAAATATGGTGTGGATGCTGGTTTTGGATACATGTACACTTTAATGCAAATACTCCCTCCGTCCTAAAACTTTCTTCCCGTTGCGCAAAACGAAGAAAAATCCCAAGTTTTTTCAATCTATTTTATTTAAATATTGGTATAGAAATAAAAAATAAAACATACATATTTAAAAACTACATCAAAAGTTCAACAAAACAAGTGGTGACAAGAATATTTTATTTTATCATATAGGCCATGAAAAAACACAAATAAATATAAATTCCCGTGAAGTTGGAATAGTGCTCTGGGAAGAAAGTTTTAGGACAGAGGGAGTAANTTTAATGCAAATACTCCCTCCGTCCTAAAACTTTCTTCCCGTTGCGCAAAACGAAGAAAAATCCCAAGTTTTTTCAATCTATTTTATTTAAATATTGGTATAGAAATAAAAAATAAAACATACATATTTAAAAACTACATCAAAAGTTCAACAAAACAAGTGGTGACAAGAATATTTTATTTTATCATATAGGCCATGAAAAAACACAAATAAATATAAATTCCCGTGAAGTTGGAATAGTGCTCTGGGAAGAAAGTTTTAGGACAGAGGGAGTAATTAATTATAAAAAAATAAATCTAAGTCAACATAATTATTGTCCAAAAATCTTAGCACCCCAGGTTGTGCACAAACAACTTATGCCATGGAATAATAATGCCAAACTAATTTTTTAACAAAAATTAATTATATGCCGTGACCACAGGTCTGGCGTCTGCCGTCTGCGATATATTTCTGGAAACTTAAAGTGGTTGTGGCTTGATGGCGGGATGCTCAATTGTGCCAGAGAGTTATCCTGTTGTTTATGTTAGTGTCCCAACCCCCAAAGGTTGTATTAATAGTGTCTAATTTCTCAAGTATTTATGAATTAAATTACTGAAGATGAAAATAGAGAATGAGATAGGATGCTTATGCTAAAAGCAGGAGGTATAGTCTCAAGAAATTAACTGATCTGATACTAGTGAAATGTGAAAGAAGACGCATGTTCTCTAGAAATAAATTTGTTAAAACATACACAAGTCATTTGCTTTATGTATTTGCTCATTTGTTGAGAACATTTGTTGACCTCAATAGCTGAACTAGTGATAATTTAACAGCAACAACAACATTACCCTTATGCCTCAAATTCTCACGCCCATTGCAGGGTAAGGGAGGTCGGTTGTACGCATCTTGGCCTCTATGTTTAAGACATAAAGCGGTTGTTTCTAGATGGCCCATGATGAGCGTCTAATGTTGCAATGACTAACTGTTACTTCACTATTAAAAGAAGCGCAAATTGTTTAAAGAGTCATTTTGCTTTATTCCATCATACCCCAAAGCCAAACAATAATTAATCTTTGGCTCCATCAGAGATGAATTAGAGATATTACATTACCCCTATATTTTGAAAAGCCTCCGAGGCTCTAAATTTACATGGACAAACAATTAGGGAAACTACAGTCAGATCAGATGATGAGATAAAATAGCTGGTGCCAAATATATTTTTTTTGGAATGTATTAGAAAATTATGACTAGGAACAATACCTTATAGATTAGATCCCAAGGCATACAACTGAGAAGATCAATGATAAAATGACACTTCATATAGCTGCAATTGATAAAGCATAGAAAGGAAAGGTCAAGTATATAGTTCTCTTTGTTCACCTCATATTGTCCATTATAAGAGAGAAGTGAGAACTGACCGAATGGCAATCGGAGTGCGCTTATAAACCATCCGGTATGTCTGACTATCTCTATATGCAACAAAAAACTGTAGGACAATGTCGATAAGAAAAGCTATTTGACCGCAGATGTCCAAGAAGAAGAGCTTTTTGGGCAATCCTCTAAAAAACCCGAACTCAAATGGTGTAAAAAAAGATGAGTAAATTGCCCATGCCAAGATGAACTTTTCCCATGCACGGTACCACCTGCATTGGATCAATCTTCAGTATCTGTATGTAGAAACTTAGACTTACAAACAGGCAGCAACTCAGCAAGTACTCCGGATTTTTCTTTGGCAGGACTTTAATGCACCATGATATGAAATGTAACAGGGTGTGCAGGGGCACCATCTTCAAAATTAGTACGGAGTAGTAAAATTCTAATTAGTTTCAATAGTAGTCAAATAGCAGTAGGAACTCTCACATTCAAAGGTTGATTTGCCTGTTTGGAAAGAATATTGCCTATATTTAACTCATTATAATACCAACTCTATTGAGGTACTTGCCTCGGTAAAAACCCAAAACGTTGTTTCTGTTAGAACCTTGAGTGTATATACTGCGCAAAGTTTAATAGAAATTCAAAAATGAATAAACATGATAAATTGATAACTAAAAATTACTTCGAGAAGAGCACAAGTTGCAAGGACATGTTTAGATAGAGGAAGCCAGGAAGGTTGTTACCAGTTATCCGGATGAAAAACGAGACCTCGCGATAGGCCGTTGAGGCCATCGATGACGGACTGCCTGCTAAATTTTGGCCGAGTCAACTCGAGTCCTAACTCGTTCTCCATCAGCTTGAACCGGCTCCGGCCGGTGGATTCCATCCTATCTCTCAGGTCCGACACCGTATACTCCGCATCCTCCTCCACGCCGTTATGCTCCACCGCCTCGCCTCCTCTCCGACTCCCCATCTTCCCCCCCGCCGGTGCTAACTTTTCCCGGCCGGAGAAGAAGAAACCGGACTTCAATCCTCTCCTCAGATTCAGAACGGCTGGTCCGAATTGCACAATATGCCCGGTATCTTCTGTCCAGGCGATTCGGACCCGATTGTTTGATCTGAACGGGGAAAAGCAGGGGGGTTGATTTCAGAAAGAAATCAAAGGGAATTGGGAATGCGTCAGAGGATACAAATGGCGCGCATTTAAATAGAGGAAGATGATGATCACGAGAAAGCAAACGGATATAAATGGACCTGCGAGGTATACGGTTGAATACTTATGAAGCAATTGAAATGCAGGCCATCATGCCCCCCCCCCCTTTTCTAAATTGACCACATACACTAGGCATAAAAAATATGAACATGGTCGCCTAATCTAGACAGTATGTATGCTAATCATAATTATCTCTCAGTACAGTTGTCAGAAATTGAATTCGGATATTATCTCGATACACCTCTTGCCTTGTAAATTGTACAATGCCCATCGGCACATATGTAACCATAAAAGTTGATGTGTTGCATCATCTGTCACTCGTCCAAACCTAAATCCCCAACTCCAATCTAGAGGTCATGATCGACGGTCGCCAGGACTAGGATTGCAACCATAGCCCGGTGCATCACTTTGCAAAGGGAGTCTGAAGTCTGCGTTCGTCTAAAGTTTATTTACTCCTAAAAGTCAAATACTTGAGTGCTAAAGAATAATGTCATATCACCTAAATACACACAAGTCGAAATGTTAATAGCAATATCGAGTATAACGATAACTCATGGGATAGTCTAACAAATTGGTCTGTCCTCTAACCTCGTGTCTAAAATCTACGCCTTCATCTGCGTCAAGGGCGATCACTAACTTAAGAGTCGGGGACTCCAAAAAGTAAGACTAACAACTTAGGTTTCAAGTTCTCTTCTATGGGCTGAATACGACTTAAAGAAATAAATATTGATGATAAACGAAACTTCATTAAATCAATAATATCACGTAATAATTTGAAGAAATAGAAAAAATTAAGTCTTTACACGAAGTGGGATAATATATTCAGTAGTAGACACATTTTTCGGCAACGGGGTTGAGGTGGGGGTTTAAGGATTTTAGAGGCTATGAACATAACTTTTCACACTAGTTAGTGGCACCATTTGCTGCAACAGAACCAAAGAGTTTGATTTTTGCAGTGTCTTTCTTCATTTGTCTGGATTTTATCTTCTCATTTGACTTTTCACGATCTCCAATGTAACACTTTGACCTTTAATATTGATATTTAGACATAATATACTTTAGAGTAAAAGATAGTAATCTCAAAAATTTGTTTTAAAAAGAAAGTATTCTTATTATATTTATTTTGAAAAACAATATATTTTTTTGCGAATTGAGGTCAACATTTATAAAATCTTTATATAAAAATTTGAGACTCTTAATTTTAAGAATTTGACATGTGACTTTTTAAAAAATGGCATTTGACTCTTTAAAAAATGACATGTGACTATGTCTATGTGGCATTATTTTTTGACAAGTTCTCATGTATTTAGTTAAGGCAATCAAATAAACTAAAAACTAAAATTTATAGGAAACTTACGGAAGACAATCAATTATAAGGTAAGTAAATATTTAATATACTGAAATAAATATTTAACATGTACTAAAAAGAAATTTTAAGTAGATTGAATATTCTATATACTACAAATAATATTTTTTCAATTACACTCCGTATAACTAATAATAGGCGCTAATTAAGATAACCAATATTTTTTCATGAGAATTTTTTTTATTCTATTGAAAGTTTTTTCATTTATCCAATGTTCACCGCCTATAAATTAAATTAAAAATACTTCTACAAGTATGAAGACTTTTTAATTATTTATAAAAAAAGAAAAGTAGAAAATTAATGTAAATTTCATATTAAGGCATATATATGCATGAACATGATGACATTCAACAACAAAAATGCGTTAACATGTACTAAATATTTTTCAAGCAATTATTTAATTCTTGACATAAATTTTCAAGAAGATTAATTTAAACAGCTATTTCAAATACAGGATTAATGAATTTATAGTATCTCCATAGTATAAATGTGAACCAAGCGTAGATCTAAAATGTAAAATAAAAAAAAGTTTAAAAATATTTTTACTTATATATTTAGAATTGTCACAAATTCTTGAATAAATTCAGATTAAATACCTTTAGAAAAAATAAAGAATTTAATACTTGAAGACAACTTATGAATAATTATTTTTTCTATGAATGGAGTGAAATTAATTTTTTTAAGGGAAAAAAATTTCTATTAATGAGCTAAAAGATCCATAATGAACAAATGAGAGACCTCCAAACACAATGAAAGATGGAAGAATTTGTAGCTAAAAAAAACTTAGGAGTGATTATCTGTTTTTTTATTAATGGAGTACTCATTTCATGGCTACGCTTTCTCATCTTTTATTTTATTTTTCTATACCTCATTTGCCATAACGTCACAATAAGAAATTTTTTTATTTTAGAAAATAAAAAAATTAAATGTGTAATTTGAGATAGATGGAGTACATGTTATTTTTTTCATTTATTTTTATTCCAAACATAAATATTTCTAATTTTTGAAAAAAAAGTTTTAATTCTCCTGTTATTTGAAAAATGAGCACACTCAAACCCCTCCTGCTGTTAAACTTCAGCGCACTCTGGGAGTGAAATACAAACGCCACAATTTGACTGACGGATAGGGCTGAAGGCCATCTACAATGAATGTCCGAATCCCACTGCGCCGCATGACAAACGACGCCCGCCGCGTCGGGCAACCATTGTAAGGTGACAGGAAAAAATTCAGCCGCAGCGCCCAGCCGATCGCAAAACCCAACGATTTTGGACGGACGGTCGTCCATTGGGACAGTCCGCCGCAGCGAATTTAACTTAATTTTTTTAATTTTTCAGCCTCCATTCACCGGCCATCCATTGCAACGCTCCAGCAATGCGACTTTTTTTCCTTAATTAGGCGCGGCTGTTTTCAGCCTCCATTGAAAATGCTCTAAATGCCTCTTTTCAAAATCATAGATATTTTATACGTAAGTTTTGAATGAGTTCGAAAAAAAATAAAAGGCGTTAGAAAAAATCAAAAGGGTTAGGAGAAACTAATAGCATATACTTTATGGTTGGAAAAAAAGAATAAGATGTTGGAAAAAAACTCAAAAAAAGCAAAGCAATTAATAGCTAATAGAAAAAGAAAGTAAGAACTAGAAGAGGCTCGAAAACTTAGAAAGAACTCAAAAAAATTTAAAAAAATTGAAAGAAATAAGAAAAAATTCGAAAGAGTTGAAAAAAATTGAAAAGAGCCGAAAACTTCTGGGGAAAAAATGTTAGAATAAATATTATATTTTTGAAATAAAAAATGAAAATAAAACTAAAATACATATTAAATTTATACTTTTGTAGAAATCCCTACATACTTTTGGGTCAATTTTTCTTTTACATATTGTATAGGTAGAAGTATAATTACAATTTTATAATTTAAAATATTGATGTTTTCTCCAAGCCATTTTAGATTAATAAAAAATAGATATTTTATCCATAATTTTTTAAACTATAGTAATAATAACAATAAGAATATTAATAATAATTAATAAATATAATAATAGTAATAGTTGTAATAAAAACAATACTAGAACAAGTTGGAAAAAATTGGAGAGAACAGAAAAAACTTCAAAGAACTATAAAAACTTAAAACAACTAGAAAAAATTAGAAGAAATTGAAAAAAAACTAAAAGTTAGTAGTTTATGCCTAAAATAACATACTCAGGGCCTGTTCTTTAGAGCTTGAACTCTTAACTTCCAGTTTCTTCCAGTTCCTTCCATTTCTTTACAGTTTCTTCCAGTTTTTCCAGTTTTTTCCAGTTTCTTCCAGTTCCTTCCAGTTTTTTCCAGTTTTTTCCAATTTCTTCTAATTTCTTCCAACTATATTTATTTTCTTCAAATTTTTTCTATTTTTTGACAAATCACTCTAAAAAATATATTATTATTATTATTACAACTTTTTTTAATTACAAGTTTTATGTTCATAACTATAGTTTATAAATTATTTCATTTTTTCATCGCACTATTTTTATAATTCACATTCATTCTTCCAGTTTCTTCAACTTTTTAATATGAATAATACCGTTTTTTTGTATATTAATCTACATGAAAAACTAGGAAACTATTTAAAAAATTATGGATAAATAGTTACATAGAATATTTTTTAATCTAAATTTATATAAGGTAAATTACATTTAAGGGCCTGGAAGAATAATATTATGAAAACCAAGAGAAAACTACATTTTGAAAAAGAAAAAATAACCCAAGAAGTGTAATATTTATGCTAATTTTATATTCTAATTATTTTTTTAAACTAGCGTTTTATATATGAAAAATAATACTCGTAATATTTTTTTATCTTAAAGACAATCATTAAGATAACGTGATAACACCACCAACAACAACAATAACAACAACAACAACAACAACAATAATTTATAACAACAAGAATCAGAATAAAAATAGTATAAAACCACACATAATTTTTTTTTAAAGTTTTTTTAAGACTTTTCAATTTTTTCTAGTTTTTTCAGTTTCTTTTTTTTTCAGCTTTTCCAATTTCTTCCAGTTTCTTCCAGTTCTTCGAGTTTCTTCCAATTATTCCAGTTTCTTCCAACATTCAGCTCTTTTTTTCCAGTCCTACAGAACACGCCCTCAAAAAGGAGTTGGAGTTCGAAATATTTAAAGAGTTGGATGTAATATTTGGTTTGGGGGAGAATAGTTTTCTAGAAAGTTATTCTTTAGAAAATGATTTCCACAAAAAACTATTCCTCTTGATTTGTTATCTAAACAACCACTTCTAAGAAAATGCATTTCTAAGAAATTATTCCAACGTTCCAAAAAATATTTCATGTTTTAACTTTTTAAACAATGACACTTTTTTTACCATAAATTAAAAATAATCTAAATAAATATTATAAAAAGTTGATATATCAAAATTATATCTTAAGATGAAATCAATTATGTTTAATTTATATTATAATTCAATATAGTTTGCTTCCCATTTATAATCAAAGAGTATTACTATTTGACTAAAAAAGTCAAAACATGAAAAGTTTTTGGATTGGAGGTAGTATTATTTTTCATTATTGAACTTATACTTTTGGTGATATTTGAATTAAAATTGAAGATGTTTTGAGACTACTTAAAAATTATTTTAGGCTCCATAGTTTGTTTTATATGCGGTCTGTATAAAAAAATGTGAAAATACTAAAATAGGAATCATAAGTCTTTTAAGACCAAAATAGGAGTTTACATTACTGTAATTACATTTTCATCTTCACCACATTGTCACATTGTAACTGTCACATTAGCACTGTCACACTGACATCCGTCAGTAGCGTCCACTAGAGTGCCGCCACGGATTGCTGATGGTGGACTGATCACACAAATATATTACACTGTCATAATTTTTTCATCATGCTGCCAACACATAATATTCTTACACCACGTTGTCATTATATTCATGTTTTGGTCTTAAAAGATTTAAGACTCCTCTTTTAGTATGTTTATACGTTTTAACTCCTTTCCATGGAGATTTCTTTTTAATTCCCTATGATTTGGGAAGTAGTTTGTATTTTTGCTTTATTTGCAAAATTAGAAGACTCTTGTGAGTGAGCATAAATTGAAATTTCTCTTGTTCTAAAACTATAATTTCTCAAAAATAATTTCCTATCATTTTTTAAACCAAATGTAATAAATTTTAATGAAACTTTTTTTAAAAAAAAAAACTCTCAACCTAATGAGGTCATGTTTTCTTCACCTGATTTGATTGATTCTGATCTGATTGAAATAAGTTCGGATATAATCTGAAAGTAGTTATATTTAAAGTTATTTTTGATATGATCTAGTCTGATCTGATTCCAATAAGCATAAGTAATAAGTAAAAGAAAGATGTGTCCAAGAGTTAGCAGTTAAGGTAATAAAGTCTTGAAAAAAATTAAAAAAATACAGAATCTATAAAAGTTTGTTAAATCCCGTGCAAAACACGAATTAAAATGCCAGTTTTGATCAATAAAAAAAGTGAAATAGAAGGATTAAATACGGTTGAGAGTAAAATTTAAGGGAAGCTTTAATCTCATGACTGATCATTGCAAAATCTTTTGACGTTGGTAATTGCAAACTATGAACACATATCTGGTCGGGTAACACCGTAACACCCTGCGGGAGGTGACTTGCACCGGAGCAGAGGTGGTGTTGTTCATTTGGATTGAAGACATTTTCAGAGTGGTGTTTCGTGAGTAGGTTTGAGTTTAGATGGAAAAAAATCTTAATGGTCCCACGGTCGGCGCCAAAAATGATGGTGTAAATTACCTAACCGGGTAAACAATACTAGACCGGGTCTAGGAATGTTTATTAGATTTGGGAAAGTAAGAGGTAAAAACACTCAAAGTAACCGAGGGGACTGTAGGTGGAAACACCTCTAGCCCAATTAATATTTCGAATATAGTAGAGTGCACGGGAGCTTTTGCACGGGAGTTTTAGTGAGAAGAAATCGGATCCCTTCCTTTGAGAGTTACATAGGTATTTATAGTGAACTAGAAGAGACAAGGCGCCGCACATCCACGTCAGGGCACGTTCCTGGGTGGTGCGAGGTGACTGCCTCTGTCCTCTAGCGGTCTTGTCACATAGTGAGGAAGGTGTCTTCTTTGTCATTTAGTATTTTGGACAGATTACCCAAGTATCTCCAATGATTCTCCGTTGAACTTGCCTGCTACAGTCCAAGTTCCTTCAATGATTCTCCGACACTTTCCTACCCTAGAAACCATACCGGGTGATTTCTAAGGGATGAATTTATTGAAATTGGGGACAAATGGGGAAGAAAGTAGTTTGCCCGGTATACTTTCCGAAGTTTACCGGTCAAACCCTCAACCAACCAATTACCCTTTTACTGTTGTTTTAGTTCCCCCATTCCGAAAAATCAACCTTGACCGGTTGGATATTTGAACGTCTTCTTTGACCAGTTCTGATTGGAATACACCCATCAGATGCAATATTTGGTTTGGGGGGCAATAGTTTTCTAGAAAATTATTCTTTAGGAGAAAATGATTTCCACGAAAAAACTATTCCTCTTGATTTGTTATCTAAACAACCACTCCTAAGAAAATGAATTTCTAAAAAAATTACTCCACCCATTCCAAAAAAAATTCATGTTTTAACTTTTTACACAACGACACTTTTTTACCATAAATTAAACACAGTCTAAATAAATGTTATAAAAATTTGATATATCAAAACTATATCCTAAGATGAACTCTATTATGTTTAATTTATATTATAATTCAATTAGTTTGTTTCCAATTTATGGTCAAAGAGTATCACTGTTTGACTGAAAAAAGTCAAAACATAAAAATGTTTTTGGACCGGGGGTATTATTATTTTTCATTATTTTTAAGAATTTTTTATTGAATACATTGGTGATATTTGAATCAAAATTAAAGATGTTTTGAGACTACTTAAAAATTATTTTAGGCTTCATAGTTTGTTTTATATGCGATCTGTATAAAAAATTATGAAAATACTAAAATAGGAGTCATAAATCTTTTAAAGCCAAAATAGGAGTTCACATTGCTATAATTACATTGTCACACTCACCACATTGTCACATTGGTCGCATTAGCACTGCCACATTGCCATCCGTCAGTGTCGGCCATTAGAGGCCACTGCGGATCGTTGATGGTTGACTGATCATACAAATATATTAAATGGTCATCATTTATTCATCACACTGCCAACACATAGTATTCTTACACCACACTGTCATTATATTATTGTTTTGGTCTTAAAAGACTTAGGACCACTATTTTGATATTTTTATACTTTTGTACTCTTATTCAGAGAGATTTTTTTAGTTCTCTATTATTTGGGAAGGGGTGGGATTTTTGCTTTGTTTGCAAAATTAAAAGACTCAATGAGTGAACATAAATTAAAATTTCCCTTGTTCTGAGACTTTAATTTCTCAAAAATAATTTCTTATCACTTTTTAAACCAAACCTAAAAACTTTTAACGAAACTTTTTTTTTTAAAAAATATTTTTCTCCCAACCTAAGGAGGCCATGTTCTTGTCACCTAATTTGATTTGTTCTGATCTGATTGGAATAAATTTTGATTTGGTCTAATCTAAATAAAGTTATATTTAAAATTATTTTTGATGTGATCTAGTCTGATTTGGTTCTAATTAGAATAAGTAATAAATAAAAGAAAATTGAGTCCAAGAGTTAGCAATTAAGGTAATAAAGTCTTTGAAAAAAATTATAGAGGCTTCGTTTGGTAACAGCGTTTTCGATTTGCGTTTTGGATAAAAATTTTAATGGTGTAGATTAAATCTAAAAACGCTAACGCTAAAGGCTACCGTCGGATAGCTTTTTGAAAACGCTAACGCTAATCTCTAACGCTGATGCCAAACGGGGCCAGAATCTATAAAAGTTTGTTAAATTCCGTGCAAAAGACGAATTAAAATGCTAGTTTTGATCAATAAAAAATGAAATAGAAGGATTAAATGCGGTTGAGTGAGTAAAATTTAAGGGAAGCTTTAATCTCATGAGTGATCATTGCAAAATCTTTTGACGTTGGTAATTGCAAACAATGAACACATATCCGTCTCTCCGGATCCGTCCGAATATGTTTATCGTCACTGCGATTTCCTTTTCGCAGTGAACTGAATCGAAGATACACCCCAGCGTGGCTGTGTGGATCGGAGAGCAGTGGCGGAGACAATTCCGAAGAAACGGAGCTTCATCGATCATGGCTCCCGTTTCAACTCATCCGAGCTCATCTTACATCGCTGTCCTCTCCCAGAAAATCGAGAAGAAGCTTCAGCGCGTATGTGTTTTGTGTATCGATTCTCTGTAATTTCTGCTTCTCCTTTTGTTTATTGTTCGGGTTTATTTGTTCATTTCTAGTCTGCTTTTAAGCTTGTGCTCCGTGTGGGTTTCGTTTCAGGCATTGATCTCGCCCTCTCAGACGCGCGATTTGTTGCAAGAACTGTTTGCGGATATAGCTTTGGAAGTAGACGATCGAGCTAAAGGTGACTGATTTCTCTTCCATTGTCTATTTTTCTTTCGGTCTGGATTGAATTCATTTAGTTTAGTCATAGTAGGACATTAATGGGACTGAATGTTCTTTCCTTTAGTACTCCCTATGTTCCATACCAAAACAAATGCCCTGTTTATTTTTAAGGAAATACAGAGTAATTATAAATCTCAACCAAAATTCCAGTTTCTTAATAACTACGGAGTACTATGTTAGATCAAACCTGTAATTTTTATTCAGGAGGGGGGGATAATGTAGCGTTCAAGTTTAGCGTGTTTGGGTATCTGTTTTGAAAAGAAAGAGGCATTTTTGTGTGCATCTGTCAATGTGTGTGTGCGAGCAAGGACATCTTCTTCTGTTCTTTATTTTTTGTGAAAACTTATACTCCCTAAGTGATAACAAATACTGTGAGTTGTGGGAAATGATTTCACCATCTTAATTTTTTTCTCCAATGATTTCATGTGGATGTATTCTGGTTTTCCCTCTTGCTATCAAAGACCTTTATGGCTTTAAAATGAGCCACACAGTCACACCACTATACGTAATTTATTGAGATCAATGGTTTAGATGAACTACTTTGTGACCGGTGTAAATGCGTGTCACACTGCAGTCGCAAACAATTGTATATGCATCCCAATCTATGAAAATGATTCGTTTTCCTACTTTTTGAGGACGAGGAATTTAGCCAAGTGGAGAAGTCATACAATGTTATCTGAAGATGATGCACAGAGTATAAGTGGAGAAGTCATACAATGTTATCTGGCTCCTAGTTGTTCTATGCTTTGTTTTTTTATTGAAATGAAGGCAATAAAGGAAATAAACATGTGTTAAGATGAATTAGTCAATTAAGCCCCTAGAAGAAATAATTAGCAAAAACCGTAAGGCGTGTTGATCGGTTCCACATAGACCTGGCAAAATTTGACTCGACCCGTTATTAATCCGAAACCCGACCCGAAATTAGCGGGTTTTGAACATTGATTTTGCGACCCAAACCCGAAATGACCCGAACCCGAAGACCCGTTATATTTTCGGGTCAAAACGGGTCGGGTCGGGTTTTACCCGACGGGTTATGCACTTAATTATTTATTTTTACTAGTTATTTAGTTTTATATATTCATTTAAAATATGATATACCCATTACGCTACTCAAAACTCAAAAAGCATAAAACCTAATCTAAATCTAGTAACATGCTAGTCTCTCTCTCCCTTCTCTCTCTCTATATATATACACACACACACACACACACATATATATATATCGTTCTTCCACCGTTCGTCGATATTAGATGCTGACTCAATCAAAATCGTGAGAAGACACAAGAACAATAGTGGAATTTTTATCCTATTTCATCATCTTCAGTTGCTTCTACGTGTAACTCAAGTTTTAATTCTTTTCTTTTGTTTTGATATGGTGCAAGAATCTCAATTTTTTTATAACGTATATAAATTTTTGGGTATGTTGAAAGAATCTTCAATTTTTTTATCTAGTGCAATTTTTTTTGGTATACTGCAAAAAGGTGATTTTTTGGGTATGTTGCAATTCTCTTTTTGTATGTTGCAAATAGAACTGCAAACTTTTATGATTTCGTTCTTTGTTTTGAATAATGCTCGGATCACATAATCTCTAAATAGGAAATTTTTAATTTTTAAATACGTCTCTTAACCCGTTGGGTCAACCTGAACCCAATAACTCTGGGTCATGAACAAGCACTCTTAGACCCGAACCCGAAGTGACCCGAACCCGAACCCGACCTGACCGACCGTTTTTCCAGGTCTAGTTCCACTTCCACACACGTAGACTGGACCACGTATTACTCTATTTGATTTTTTTTACCCAAGTGTACTCTGAATTAGATCCAGATAAGTTGCATCTTAAATCATTTTGCTTTCTTCGCTCATTTGCAAAAAATGGTGTCATGGTCATCAAATATGAATTTGAAATCCAATACCCCTCTCCACCTCATCATTGCCAGTGTGCCCATGCGTCTGGGTAATTGTCAAAACACCTCACTTCTCAAATAAAATGTCTGTAGGAGGCGCTGGGTAACTTTATAATTGACATGTTTTTTGGCCAAGCAGTTTAGCACAGGGTTTTTCCTGCTATTAACTCTCTCTTATTTTACTAGTTGTGATCTATGAATCTATTAAAATTCATATACTTTATGTGCTTAAGTTTTTTATCCACAACAACCATCTCGCCACCACTTGCACACACTTTGAGGGTTTAGAAGTGAGGGATGTGGAGAACAGTAGCAATGTAGCATGTATGATTCGATGTTGTGCTTAAGAGGTGAGAGGGCTGAACAAGCAAATCCTTGAGGGCATATACTAGGATGCATAGATCACTATTAGTATCTTTACACAAGCAACTTTATTATTGCTGCTTATCCAAACTTGTTAAATTTGGGCTTTATACAAAAGGGTTTAACTAAATATTGTTCTATATATTTTGGAATTTTGATGTCTTTCAAATTGTTTCATGATTGAAGCGCTGATATTTTTATAAAAAAGTGACATATGTGTGTAGGTCACGCCAAGGACATGTACGCTACACACCTAAAATGTGCCAACCTCATCCCATTTTATAAAATGGAAGCACGGGATATTTCGGGTCATTAAGACAAGGTGGGGACACCTTGGGGAATAGTACATGTTGTTTTAGGAATGGGGCATGCTTTAAACCTTGAAATCTGGACTAGCGCTAAAATCAAAAGCCTTGACCCCCCATTATTATAATTGTGAATAGAATTTTTACTTGTTCTCTCTAAAGATTAACAATGTTAAAGAAATCACCCAAAATAGGAGTGAAACATAGCCCTTATCCCCAAAATAAGAGTGACATGTTTTTTTATCCCAAAATAAGACTATTGCATTGTGACAATGTGGCATTGTATGTATTAGCATTCCATAGTATTTTTTGGTATTATATGTTGGCATTATTGACATTATAGGTCCTATTTTGAGATAAAAACATGAAGGTCCTATTTTGTTCTCCTTGTTATGTTTTAATCCTATTTCAGTCCTTTTTCTCTAATAATATTATTACTAACATTTTTACCTGTGTGTTGCACCCAATTTTTTCTCCTAATGTTTACCAAATACATAAACGATCTTAAACTAACATGCATAACATTTTTTTTATTTTATTTTGAATGTAACTATCATTTAGTCAAAATATTCAAACATTCGTATACACAATTTCATATTAGATATATATAGAATAGATTACTATTATTGTTGGTGTTGTTGTTCTTATTATTATCATTATATTCGTGCATCATAGCTAGGACGTTGGTGAGTATAGAATATGTACGAGCACATTTTTTTAGCTTTTGATTGGAGATACTGATGATGCTGGTGTTGTGTGTGCTTCGCATGATGTAAACATACTCTATTCAGGATCTTATGATGTCCATGTAATTGCACAGAAATAATTTTCAGCAGCGAAGATGTAATATCGGCCACAGAGGAAAGGATACAGGGTCCAATATGCTACTATGATGTGCTTGCTGAGCATTTCATTATTGTGCCCCACAATGGGAGAGTGATCCTTGATTCAATTGATCAGCTATGGAGCCAATCTTTTGCTTCTAATATCTTCACACTTTTGTTTCACAAGTGGGTAAGTGAGTGCTTACATTTAACTTCAAATTATTGCATCATAACTTTACGTCCTCTCATATATCTTTTTTACCCTCATAGACATGAATCACATGATTATAAAATAACATGAAACAGATGATAGTTTGTATGTGTTTCGTCTACTATCCTAGCTTGGTCCAAGACTGATATGGTATATTTTTAGTTGTTTGAGGTTGAACACGAAAATTCTAAAGTCCTCCTTCGGTATTCTTCAGCTCTTATTCAAGGTGCTAGTAATGTGTTCTGGTATGAATTTAATCATCTATAGAGCTACATTTTATTGGCAGTGTGTGTGTGTGTGTCACTCATGAGTCATGACTTGTCCATACTCAATATAAATGTGGGGACTATAGTTGTCTTTGTGCTGTGGGAAGATGGAAACAAATATAATTTTCTGTAGTCATACTATTTCAGGATTGACATTCAAACAAATACAAGACGGTTTCAGAGTCTCTTTCGGGTGAGACACACTGGATGTACAAAACTGTTATATCATAAAGGAATGTTTTAACATTTCTGTTTTCTTTCAACTGGCTGCAGTATCTTCTAGAGGAAGTCACCCTCCTTCCTGATCGGTTAAAGAAGATACCCTTGGAGGTCTAAATTCACTATCTATAATTGTTTGCACAAATGTGATTAGCTAGTTAGTTTTAATATTCATGCCCAAAGAGCATTTCACTATCTTGCTTCATCTTGGACCGTCTTCAGGCTCAGCGGAGTTTGTTTCTCCTCCTTTCAAGGTTCCTTCTTTCCTATGACTCAGGTAAGCAATGATCATAACCCTTCTCCATTAGGTGTTTAAACAAGCTTTTGTTCAGTTGTTACTTGTGTGATTACAGTTGAAAAGCTAGAAAGGTTCTTGAAGCAATTTCCTGACTATCAGAACGCTTTCTTGATTGGTGGTCCAGCTGATATTTTTGTTACTGAATTGGCTGATCAGGTGAGAAGCATTATACACTAAGGATATGTTTAGAACCTGTAAAATGGTGTGATAATAATAGAAAAGAACCTGTAAAATGCTAGGGAAAGAAATTAGAATTGAAAATAGAGGGAAAATATTTATATGAATTTTAGAGAGAAAATTTGGTGCAAACACAATAAATCAATTCCAGATTAAAAATAGCTAATTTCTTCTGCATTTTTTCTGTTCCATACCATTTTCTGCTTTCTAAACATAAGCTAAAAGAATCTTCTTGAGCCCATTTGCATCCTAAAGAATATCGTGTTTATTCTTTTTTTAAACCACTACCAGCTTCAGAAATTAAAGGTCGAGCCAGTGTTATTATATTACCTCTCCCAGATGAAGGTTCTTAGCGGTATGTGCATTTCAATTAGATCAATGATACGGAGGAATAATAGTAATAATTAATAATGTATCCTTGATACGTATACGAAATTCAAGATTAAATGATTCTACAGGGTTACAATTAAGGATGACCACAAGCACAAGACTGAAAACTTGTCTGTACAGTTTTACGAGCCCTGGGGCTCCTATGTATCCAACACGAGCGGTTCGCCATGCGGCATGGGATGCCCTAAATCTGCTTTTTCCTGTGAGTGAGAGCTTGTTCTCTTCATTTTATTATTATTACGTACTACCTCCGTCCCAGAGTATTTGTCCACTTTCATTTTTACACACCATCCAATACACTTCTTTAATTCATTTTATCTTGTAATTTGTATATTAAAAAATTATAGAAATTATATATTAATAATCTATATGTTAAGACAAATCAAACAAGATCACACATGACTATATTTAGACTTACACATTGAGAGAATTTGATGAGTAAAAGTGCTTAGATGAACAGTTCCAAAAGTCAAAATTGGACGAATACTTCGGGACGGAGGGAGTATTATTTATTCGTATTCAAATCAAATCAGGCTAGACCAGAAACAGATTTAAATATAACTACAATCAGAACAGACCAGATCAGAACTTATTCCAATCAGATCAGAAACAACCAGATGAGGCGAAGAGAACAAGCCCCGAGTGTGTGTGTTTGTGTGTGTGTTACGTTCTTACATTCATTCTATACTTCCTTTTTTTGGTAGTTAATTAAATTTTGGAATCGGAGTGCAAGTGGTGTGCTACATTGAAATGACACATTTGGTACTTCGCCCTCATGCAGGTCGGCATGTATCCTCGGCACCTAATAAGCATCTTCTTTCGCCTGCTATACCCCTGGTACTGGCCTGCTTCATGTTGGAACTTTATAAAGGCATGCATAATGGCAGCATTTTACTCCATTCTAAGATTGATTCTCTCCAGTTGGGAAAGATTGAGAAAACAAAAAGAGAGATGATTCCAACAGAATCTTCTGTTCTATCCCCCATTAGAACTCTATAAAGATATACATTTGTGGCCACTGGTCACATTAACTGTGTTGTACTAAGATGGATGAAATTGGGCAAAAATCGTATGAACGGCTTTTTGCACCGTATCTCATCATATGTCCCATAAAAAGACTACTAGTGTATTTCAAAAAGGGTTTGAGTGCCATATAATTTTGATATATGTACACTTTGTACACTGTCTTTTACACCAAACTTGTACAGACATGCGTACGCGTGTTTCTTTTGCTGTCGCGGATGTCATGTTATGTCTGTGGGGATCTCGTGTCTATGTTTGTGAACAAAAAATAGCAAAATTGGTGTATGAAGACTCAAAAGAATAATGTTTTTTTTCATTTCAAAATGGGTGCATAAAGGAATTGATACTTAATGTTGGGGATTGGGAGTTTGTAAATGGACAAAGTACTACAGAGGTACAAGTACTATCTACATATATGTAAATTGGTTTTTCACACAAAATTGAAGCAATTTCGTTCATGCATTAGTCTTTTTGTTCAATACAGTCCTTCGTCATATTGTCCTGAACTTTTAAATCGATGGCGTATAATTTTACTTTAGAGGACATGGAAAATAATTATATTATCTTTATGTCTTTTTATCTAATGTAAGTCGTCATACAATGAAGAAACTTGTTCCTATATTTTTCATAAAATAAAAAAAATAAATGAATGCAAGTTGCACTTGGTAAAAAGAAGTATTTAAAAAAAATTATGTTTTAGTATGTCATGTTAAAATTGATCATGCCACCTAAATAAAAAATTAAATATCAATTAGTTTGGGGCAATAACCAATGAATAAGTAGAAAAACCACATTGAACAAAAACAGACACTCCGTATTTTATAGTCTGCGAATGAATTTATACATTTTTAAGATAGTGTCTGGACACCCATGGTCTGTACATCTTGCCCACTAATATACGCCACATACATCAAAAGGAACATACCAACATGTTACATAAATTTCCCTATGTTTATTCCTATTGCATCCTATTGGTTACAAACTTACAATGTGAATGATGGATTTTATAGTTTTGCAATTTAATCATATCTCTCATTTTTACTCACATAAAGTAATTCTGCGATTTATGCATCTAAAGTAATTTGATTAATTTCTACATACTGCAGAGTACCTCGATAAATAAAGAATACTAATCGAGCCACTAGAAAAAACAATTACACATAAAAGGGCGAGCATTCATTTGGTTGGTTACATACTAACCAAATTGGAGATATTAGAGCATCTCCAACATTTTGTCTTGTTAAAAGTCACGGAGTATAATATACTCCCTCCGTCCCAAATTATAATGCCTGTTTATTATTCACAGGGTCAAACTTCATTCACTTTCTTTTTCTATTTTCGTTAGCAATTTGATAAAATAAAATATTATTGTCACTACTAGTTTTGTAGATCTTTTGATGTTGTTTTTTAATATGTAATTTTTATTTTTTAATTCTATACCATTTGTCATATAAAATGGTTTGAAAATAATTTCAGTCAAACACGTAAACCGAAACAGGCGTTATAAAATGGGACGGAGGTAGTAACAAGTCAAGCTTTTTTGTTCATCTTCATAGGGTATGCTATATTTTAGCAAGTTTGCCGAAAAATGACTTTTGCTTGCTAAATATAACAATCTTTTTAAATTATAGAAATTCAATAGTTAAAAAATAAAATAGCAAGTTATGGTTGGAGAATGAAACAAAAAGATGCTCGTTGTATCACCATTCACTTGAGATAATGAAAAAAATAACAAGTCACTACGGCACGTAAGGTTGAAGATGTTCTTATTTTAGCATATTATACCAAATATGACATTACTGTCTCACAGACATACATAAACCATAACTGTTTGTGTGAAACTATTTGTGCAAGACTATATTTGGTGTCATCTTTAGTAAAATGACTATATTATTTTATCAAATGACTAACAAAAATATAAGAAGCAAATAAAGTTTGATTTTATAAATAGTAAACAAATAATTTAATCTAGAACAGAAGGAATATTTAACTTTTTCCCAGATGTGTTTTATGCTAGGATTTAGCTGCATTTCTTGTACCTTCATCCCAAAAGACCCTCACTTCTCTTTTTTACATTTCCAAAAACAATTCTTTATTTTTTTTAATACAAGTAGCTCAAACGATTTTCCTCTCATCTAAATAAATTACAAACATTCATTTTTTTATTTTTCAAAACTTCTCAAAAACTGCAGGGGGGTATATTTTAACACAAGGTACTCCCTATATGACTATAGGAAGGAGGGGAAAGGACATTAATTGTTATGGAGTAAGATATTAGGAAATTACACAAGAGTTAGAAATTAAAAAAAAAAATACCATGTGACAAGCACAAGTTAAATGCAATTCTACAAGGCTACAGAACAAAGCAAGAGAGCTGTGCAAATCATAAAGCACAAATTGGCAGAGCAGATACACAAGAAAGTCTAGGGAAACAACAATATGATGAGAGGAACTAATCAATCAAACTTCTTGCATTGATTCCAAATGGTACTTGTCCAATTCCGCGTCAAGGTCTTGTGCGGATATCTTCTCTCCTCCGCGCCCTCTGCCTTGGCCTCGACCTCCTCCTCGGAACCCCCTTTGACCTCTTCCCCGGCTGCCTCGTGGCCTCCCAAAACCGCCACCCCGTCCTTGGCCACTGTTTAAAATCCAAAATTCAGAAACATGAGCATACCCCTTGGGTTATGTATATCAAGCTTGAGAGGGAAAGGGATGACTTCCCACATCTATATTTTCTTTCCACTCATGTGTAGAATCCTCTCACACCGGTTTATTTATTACTCAATATTACAAATAAGACTTTGTTTTATAGATAGAGAGACTATTGTGTAAACCTAGTGAAAAATTAGTAAAACACTTGCCCACAAATAATCCTTTTACGAATTCGGAAGAACAAATCCAAAGATGGCATATAGTGAAATATGTTAGATAGGTCTAGGATTTAAAATTTTATATATTTCAGTCCAATATTTGGACTTATTTAGAAAAGACCACATCCCTTAAAACCAAACCATGTGGTGTGGCACCAAAGTGTCGCTATCCTAATGTGTCCCCTTCCACTGGAGAGGGGTGGCACAGTAAAGGTGTGATCCTTTGATTTACAACGAGATGCACACTTCACATCTTTAACTAATGTTGTGTTTTCATAGCTCCCTAGATAATATATGAGTGCAAGCGATCTACCACAAGGTGGCTGGTCATCTTTACATAAGACATGAAAAAAGGTTTCTATTGCAATGAAATACACAGGATGTTTTTACTTAAATGTAAGTGCATAAGAAATGTGAACCTACAAATCACAAATACAGTATTGTATAAAACTGTACTTTACAAATGAGTGTATAACAAAAAGAATAGTGTAAATAAATAGAATCTGACAAACCTTCTTGGAACTCCATTGAAATCTCCAAATGCACCACCAAATACAGGTTGAACAGAAGGGGCCACAATGCTTACTCCTACCATCTCTATCTTCATTGGTTTGCCATCAAGTTGAACATTGTTGTACCTTTTCAAAGCTGATAAAGCATCTTGTCGGCGCGCGAAGACAACTTCTGCTGTTCCCTAAAGAGAAAATATATTTTTAACAGGAGTATAGAAGTGATACATAACTGGTAAACTATATTCTCTATTCTTCTGACATTTACCTTTGATCTTCCACTCTTATCGTAATGAATTGAATATCTTTTAAGGTCACCAACCTCATTGAAGAGTTCCTGCATCACATAAATTCACATGAAATACATTAGAAATGACTAAGTGACAGGAGAATGCAGCAACAAAAAGGTCAAGCACGTAGTAGTAAATAACAACCATACACCAAAATTGCTTTAAACAAGTAACCATGTTTCAGCTGGTTAATCAACTAGAGTGACAGCCAGCAACATGCAAAGCATTCTGTAGGATGTGGTCTGTAATGAAAGGGGAAACTTTGAACATAAAAAGAAAAGCTAAAAGGCATGAGGCTGAATGACATTCAAAGCAAGCAGTCAATAGTTAGGTAGGCTGTGGAAGTTGTGTAAAGCGGTTAATGATGGCATGCTCAACTGTGTAGTGTTGGTTTCAGTAGTACAAAATGCACAGTTGCAAGGGATATGGACGGACAGTTTCAAAATATTGAAAAACTGCGGCAGCCGGCAGGTATGGAACAACAATTTCAAAAGCAATGTTTCTAAACTCTGTTTATCTCAACATGCAAGAACAATTCCAATGAAACTTCTCAAAATTTTCTTAATTTCTCTCCATCCCAAATTTTCTCTCAGATCTTTGGTTACTATATCCTCGTGGTTTTGTCACAATTTGGTATGACCTTCAGTACATGTGAATCTATCCTGCACTAAAGTTTACTTAAAACCAGTTCTTTAAGAGCTTGAAAACAATACAATTAAGGAACACAATTGAAGTGAGAGGAAGGGTGCAACAGGAATCCTTCATAGGGAACTTTCTTATGCAGTAATTTTGAGCCTAGTCACATCAGAAAAAAACTTGAATAGGAGAATTTACCAACCCAAAAAAAAATTCTAACTTTCTAACACAATCTCATCCCACTAACGAATACCAATTAAAAAAGATTCATGAATATGACATCTAATCTCAGGTTTTAAACAAAGGTGGTCTTTCATAAAGAAGACAAATCAGCACTATCATTTACAGTGACCTTCTAATTATAACCAGAAACAGACGGTCTTTGATTAAAAAGAGGGATCTAAAAAATAACGCAAAAACTCACCTTGATATCTTCATTAGAGACGCCATAGTCAAGGTTAGAGATGTAGAGCTTAGTGCCAGTCTCGATGGAAGCAGGTCGGCCAACAGCACTGAATTGACCGGGAAACGCCATCTGCTGGGCCGCATCGAACATGTCATGAGTCCAAGCCGAATCCGGTGCCTCGAGAAGCTACAGTTGGAACAATTATCAGCTAAAATGACATATGCTCGACACGAAGAACAACGCGGCGAAGAAGAAAGTGGTTTGTGTGCAGAGATCATAAGATTAAACCTTGGAGGTGCCGTAGGGCGCAGGTCTGTTAATGGAGCGGTTGGAAATCCGGCGAACCGGTCCGAGGCCAGATCCGCGGGTTCTTCCCCGGTGATTTCCTGCCACCGGCTTCCTGTTCATCTTGATGAGATCGTCCAGAGACATGTCTAGAGGCGCTTCTGCAACCATTTCTTTGATGATGAAGACTAGGGTTTGAGGATCTGATACAAGGGGGGTGAGGGATGATTGGAAGGAGAGCCGAATAAAGCTCGGTGAAACAGGTTGGTTTTTGACTTTTTGAATTAAAATACTTTTTACTAAACGTATTTTAACTTTAACTCACATGTTTTAAACAACAAGGTGTCGTGGTGTAGTTGGTTATCACGTCAGTCTAACACACTGTAGGTCTCCGGTTCAAACCCGGGCGACGCCATTTTCTTATTTTAGCCTCTTTGGAATTTTTTTGAAAGCGTTGTTTTTCTATAAAAAATCGAAACAAGAGGGCCCAACCGGGATCGAACCGGTGACCTCTTGATCTGCAGTCAAATGCTCTACCACTGAGCTATGGACCCGAATGATAACCTTCTCACAATGATTGTATAAGTTTTACAAATTTGTAACACTTGCACCTATTTTACAACATTGATTTTAGAGTTGAACCGATTAAATTTTTCAAAAACCTTGTAAACATCGAGCCATATTGAACATGACATTCATTATTAAAATCACAAAAAATAACTCATTTTAATAACTTGAAGAGAAAAATATGTGATGACGATCATTCGAAAACATCTTATTTTGTGCCCATATAATTATTTTAACAACTTAAAACAATCAACATTAAATATACAATTTTATGGGCCTTCACTATATTGTCTTAAGTGGTAGGTTAAGTGGTAGGAGCAACAATCCAAAAGGTTTGAGATACAAGTTTACTCATACTTGAAATGTCTAAAAATCAACTTTGCAGTTCATACTATCTGTTTTTGCGAACAAATATGTAGATATTATTCATTTCTCGCGCGATTGAATGAGGAGGAGCAAATAGTGAGGTGGTGCGGCATGCGTACGCTTCAGCGTACGTAAGGGTTATTTAAATAACCTAAGGACTCGTGCTCTATAATTAATTAACGTATCTCGGGAAAATATACTTCTAGGGCTAACTTGCCCTGAATCTAGATCCTTTTGCACCCTTGGATTCGTCTCGTCGAACCCTACACATTGATATATATAAATTTTATAATTTATTGACACTTATTTCTAAATAACCCCAACTCTGTCTCAATATTTAACTAATTATTTTTAATCAATAAATTCTGATAGTCCAGGTCTCGGGGGCATTACAATTTAAGGGCAACAGATAATAATTCTCAAACGAATGATTTTCTAGTTTCTCCATAACCATACACAAAATAAAAAATCTCCTATTCCTGCTTTCACAACTGCACTTCCATTATTTCATCCATCTTTTCTAATTTTTTTTGAAAATTCACTAAAAATGATTGAATTACAAATATTTTTTCTAGAATGGAAAAGTAAATGGTATTTTTGATAATCTACTACAAAATTTTCTCGTCAGAGTGATACAACAAAAAATGTAAAAACAGAACCGGAATTAGTATTTTTAAGGACATAATACTTTTATTCGATAAGTCATCATAATTTTTTAAAATAATTTTTATTCTAAATTATATTACTATAATTATATCATGTTTTTGTGTTAATTAAATATATTCACTTTATTTTATGTTAAAACTAATTATAGAGAATTAAAATGTCAATAAAAATATTTAACTTTAATGGCTAGCAAAAAGGTAAGTTAATGATTTGATTAAAATGTCATCTTTAAAACCCTTACACTTTTTAAAGTTTATTTTAATATGTAAACTTACATTTCAAATTAAAAATTAGTAAGGCAAGAATCATAATTAGGTCCACCGTGGTTTCATCTCCATAAGTATTTTATAAAATAGGTGGCAACTGAGTTGTCAAAAAAGTACTTTGTAATCATGCCACATGTTGAAATTCTGTGAGCTAACTCTCAAATTAAAGATATAAATATTTGATTTAAATATTTGAAAATTTTAAAAATAGTCTAGTCATTTGTAGTATTTTAGTGTAGATATTAAAATGTATTTTTTATAACTTATGTATATCAATATTTAAATAAATAAAATCAAAACTAACTTCATTTAAGAATGTCATAAAAATATGGTTTTTTAGAGGTTATGAAAGTATTTTTGAGAAAGAAAATGTTATTTGTTCATTGATAGTTTTATTATAAATGAAGTGAAAAAATATAAAATTAGAAAAAATATATTCTAATAAAAGCGACGATGTCAATTCCATAATTAAATTTACTAAATAATATAGAAATCATAAAGAATGTTAGTGTAAACATAATATATCTTGGTTACATATTGTTTATCAATTGTTAACTATAACTTAATTAAAATATCATATCATAATAGATAACTAAAAAGATTATATTTTTTTAATTTAAATCATAAATAATCTAAGGATTATACACCATAAATTTTATAGTTATAAAGTCAAATCACAAAATCAATATATTCAAACTATGAAATTCGTATAGTATTTTTTCTATTTAAATATAATTATAGTTTAGTCATCTCTTGTTTTAAATATCCTTTAATTAGTATTTTAAAATATATTGTTTATTTTTAATTTTACATCAATAGTACAATAAATCAAATCAAAACTAACTTCATTTTAACATATCATAAACAAATACTTGTAACACATTGATTTAGAGGTTAAAAACATCTTATTTTTTGGTTAAAAGTTTTGTTACAAAAGAATACAGTAAAAAATATTGAATTGTAAAAGGATACTATCATTAAAATGAATGTTTCTTTTCCATACTTAAATTTATTCAATAATTTCATACCAAAATATTGATTTCACATTTTCTATATCGTAAAACTAAGTGGCATGTTAAATAATTAGGTATCAAAATAATTTATTTATAAGTGAAAAAAGCATGTTGTTTGTTAGGTGTCAATATTTAAATAAATATAATCGAATTCATTTCATGTAAAAGTATAATAAACAACTATAAAATTTATTTAGATGTGAATATAGTATTTTATTTAATATTCTAAAAATTTGTTATAAATGAAGAGAAAATTAGGTAGTATAAAAAAGCTACATAAGCAACGAGACATGTCAGCTCCGAGCAATGCCACGTGTCAGCTCTTTAGAATTTGAAGTCTTAAATTTATACATGAAGAATTAGGTGTCAAACTAAATATATAATTTATTTATAGGTTAAAAAGCATTTTATTTATTAGATGTCCATATTTAAATAAATATAATCAAATTAATTTCATGTAAACGTAGAGTAAACCAATTCAAAATCTATTTATAAGTGAAGAATGTTAGAAAGCGTTTTCATATTGAAGTTTTGCTAATGACAATGTTTGTTTCCGTTTAGGTTTTGATAATGACAAATCGTCGGGGACATGAAACAAAATAAAAAGATTCAAAGGCATGGCAAAAGTTCTTTGAAGGAACCAAAAGCACAAGAAAGACATTGACATTTCTAGAGACGACGACATTGACGTTTTGAAGACCTTGTATAAAGATTTAGGTTTTTATTGTAACAAGTTCATTCAATTTTTCCAAGTCATGGCTCAAAAAAATATGTTTTTCATGTATCAAACAAGTGTTTTCACAAATATTTTTATGTTTCTAAAACCCATTATCCTTGCCCAACCAAAACCATAATCATTGGTTATCCGCGTTCGATTTTGGTTTTCGATTTTTGGCATTGGTTACTAGCATTGATTTTAGCCAAATAGGTTTTTGAGTTTTTAACTTCTGTTTTTGCTTCTGGACACATTTAAAGATTTTCTAAATGATTAGTTTTCAAAAACCATAACCTTTGATTTTTGGCGTTGGTTATCAGCGTTCAACGCTGGTTATCTGTTTTGGTTTTTGGCATCCGAATCACCTAAGTGGTTTTTAACATTTTATGATTGGTTTTTACTTGTGGGCATATTTAAATGATTTTCCAACAAAAACATTCTAAAAACCACCTTTTGTTTTAGACTTATGTAAAAAACCGTGAAAACCGGCTTTAACTTGGCTATTATGGTTTTCACCTAAATAATGTGGTTTTTGAGATTTTACACTTGTTTTCTTACTAAAATGCATTAAACAAGTGTTTCTAACACTTTGTTTTGTTTTTGGAAAACTTTGATTTTTGACATTAGTTTTCGGCGTTGGCTGCCAAATCATGGTTCTGGTGTCCAAACCCAACATGGATGTTTGACTTTGAACATAGATGTTGGAACAGAAATGTTGGACTTTCAACATCCATGTTTTGGCCAGACTGGCTCACATCACTTTTTGGCAATAGGTTTTGGAAAATCGATGTTCACTAATGAACATCGATCTTTTCAAATGACCATTAGGGTATTTAAGACAAAACCTTTCCATTTTTAAAATTCAACAACTCTAGCATCAATGTAGCCTTCAAAACATCGATGTTCTCATAACCGTTAGCCATTTCCAAATGAGAGTCAAAGCCAAAACTTCGATGTTCACTTTATAAACATCAATGTTAGGCTAGATTTCAGTAGATCCACCTTTGATTTGATTTCCACAAATCATGTCAATCAACCTCAATATTCTCCCAATCGTTGCACCTTATTTTTTGGTGTAAAAAGAGGTCTTTCAGATCAACTATTATCAATGATTCCTCACACATTTCATAACTTTACTTCGCATCATTTCATAAACTTTTTACATAGCCTTTTAAAGCCATTTTTGAGGAATCTTACATACATACACATATATATACATATGCATATATATATATATATATATATATATATATATATATCTGTGTGTGTGTAAAAGAGGGTTACATAGTTTTTGTAACCCCCCAAAACATAACCTAATAAAATTTCTAATGAATAAATATTCAATTAGTCAAATTTGTTTTGATTAAAATAAATTATTGTTGGGCTTTGGGCCGAAATGAAATGTGTTTTGACATCCAATATCACAAATCAGGATAAGTCTCATAAAAATAAATCTAATATGTTGACTAATTGGGTAATCTTGGTTAGAAATTTGAGTATAGACCCAAATCAATAATAAATAAAGAAATTATTTATGATGTGAACTTTGAAATGATTTATCAAAATAAATCATGAGAATAAGTAGTGTTTGAACCTTTTATGATAAAGGTCAAATAAATCAATTTTGACTCTATCAAAGTCAAACACCGAAAAATATGATGTCGGAAAAAGTATTACAAATAATTATGAAAATTATATCGTTTGATAGAGTTTAACTGTACGATCGCAACGGTGCAAATGGATTTCAATTCGGAGAAAGTTAGACCAAAAAGTGTACCCCGACTGGAACCAAAATTAGTCCCAATCAGGGACTACATGCTGTGCTCAAACGGCGCACTAGGCGCTCCAGGATTCACCATTATTCCTTCAGTGTCTTCTTCCTCTTCTTTCCCCTATATAAAATACACTACAAAAAACTGTTGAAATCGCGACGGAATTATTCCGTCGCTAAAGCTTGATTTCCGTAGGGAATCAACCTAGCGACGGAAACAACGACGGTTTGTATTCCGTCGTTATTTTTTCGTTAGTAATAAGTTTAACGACGGATTATTTAATCTGTCGCTAGGCTACGACGGAATTCGCGACAGAATGAGGCGACGGAATTAACGACGGAAAATTTCCGTCGCTAAGATTAACGACGGTTTTAGCTACCGTTTCTGCATTTTGACCATACAGCGACGGAAATGATATTCCATCGCCAAATCCGTCGCCAATTTTACAGCACGAATACAGAAAGCTGCCATTTTTTCAATTTCATAGAACATCCATAGCAACCTACTCTAGCCCAGGAATCCACAGCATCAAACAACAACAAATACTAGAAATGAAGAATACCAAACAACCAAGAATATTCAAATCACCAAACTACAATTAAAATTCAAATAATATTTATAAAAATTCAACTTAACAATCAAATCTAACTCCACTTACATAACCATCAAACTTAAGTTTAATATAATGTTCTTCAATTCTAATAAAATATTCAACAAGCGCGTGCAAACCCCGTATCTCATCAGGTCATCTCTTCTATAATCGACAATAGTTCACGCACTTGGGAAGCTCTAATGTCGTCTAGCTCTTCTCTCAACCTCCGTATCTCATCATCTCGAGGGTCTCACATAGAGATGGTGCTAGCACGTCTTGCCTCACTTGCATGCATTCGTGGTAGGCTTCGTGCGAGATCTCCAACACCATGAACACGATT